TCGGAAATGACTCCTTCACTTTCTTTTGAGCTTCTGACTGAAGGTGCAATACCATTTTTATATCGGAATTAACTATATTTTATTTTTAAAATTTTACGGCAAATCAAAATTTAAAAATCTCATAACTGAGCCAAAAATGCATTAATTTCAATTCGGAAAGCGTTCCATTGTTCATTTTTAGCAGGTTAATAAAACTGCATACTCTATTTAAAATGTGAATTTTTGGCCGATTTTTGCAAATTTTCATGATGTAACCCCTTTCCTTTTTTTCCGAAAATGGGAAATTTCGGAAAAAAAATTTTTCGCCCGGATAAAGCTAGAAAAATTGCCTGTTGATGCTGATCTAGAATATATATGATTTATAGGGTCGGAAATGACTCCTTCACTTTCTTTTAAGCTTCTGACTGAAGGTGCAATACCATTTTTATATCGGAATTAACTATATTTTATTTTTAAAATTTTACGGCAAATCAAAATTTAAAAATCTCATAACTGAGCCAAAAATGCATTAATTTCAAATCGGAAAGGGTTCGTATGTTAATTTTTAGCAGGTTAATAAAACTGCGTACTCCATTTAAAATGTGAATTTTTGGCCGATTTTTGCAAATTTTCATGATGTAACCCCTTTCCTTTTTTTCCGAAAATGGGAAATTTCGGAAAAAAATTTTTTCGCCCGGATAAAGCTAGAAAGATTTGCCTGTTGATGCTGATCAAGAATATATATGATTTATAGGGTCGGAAATGACTCCTTCACTTTCTTTTAAGCTTCTGACTGAAGGTGCAATACCATTTTTATATCGGAATTAACTATATTTTATTTTTAAAATTTTACGACAAATCAAAATTTAAAAATCTCATAACTGAGCCAAAAATGCATTAATTTCAATTCGGAAAGCGTTCCATTGTTCATTTTTAGCAGGTTAATAAAACTGCATACTCCATTTAAAATGTGAATTTTTGGCCGATTTTTGCAAATTTTCATGATGTAACCCCTTTCCTTTTTTTCCGAAAATGGGAAATTTCGGAAAAAATTTTTTCGCCCGGATAAAGCTAGAAAGATTCGCCTGTTGATGCTGATCAAGAATATATATGATTTATAGGGTCGGAAATGACTCCTTCACTTTCCTTTAAGCTTCTGACTGAAGGTGCAATACCATTTTTATATCGGAATTAACTATATTTTATTTTTAAATTTTTACGGCAAATCAAAATTTAAAAATCTCATAACTGAGCCAAAAATGCTTTAATTTCAATTCGGAAAGCGTTCCATTGTTCATTTTTAGCAGGTTAATAAAACTGCATACTCCATTTAAAATGTGAATTTTTGGCCGATTTTTGCAAATTTTCATGATGGGAAATTTCGGAAAAAAATATATATGATTTATAGGGTCGGAAATGACTCCTTCACTTTCCTTTAAGCTTCTGACTGAAGGTGCAATACCATTTTTATATCGGAATTAACTATATTTTATTTTTAAATTTTTACGGCAAATCAAAATTTAAAAATCTCATAACTGAGCCAAAATGCTTTAATTTCAATTCGGAAAGCGTTCCATTGTTCATTTTTAGCAGGTTAATAAAACTGCATACTCCATTTAAAATGTGAATTTTTGGCCGATTTTTGCAAATTTTCATGATGGGAAATTTCGGAAAAAAATTTTTTCGCCCGGATAAAGCTAGAAAGATTCGCCTGTTGATGCTGATCAAGAATATATATGATTTATAGGGTCGGAAATGACTCCTTCACTTTCTTTTAAGCTTCTGACTGAAGGTGCAATACCATTTTTATATCGGAATTAACTATATTTTATTTTTAAATTTTTACGGCAAATCAAAATTTAAAAATCTCATAACTGAGCCAAAAATGCTTTAATTTCAATTCGGAAAGCGTTCCATTGTTCATTTTTAGCAGGTTAATAAAACTGCATACTCCATTTAAAATGTGAATTTTTGGCCGATTTTTGCAAATTTTCATGATGGGAAATTTCGGAAAAAAATTTTTTTCGCCCGGATAAAGCTAGAAAGATTCGCCTGTTGATGCTGATCAAGAATATATATGATTTATAGGGTCGGAAATGACTCCTTCACTTTCTTTTAAGCTTCTGACTGAAGGTGCAATACCATTTTTATATCGGAATTAACTATATTTTATTTTTAAATTTTTACGGCAAATCAAAATTTAAAAATCTCATAACTGAGCCAAAAATGCTTTAATTTCAATTCGGAAAGCGTTCCATTGTTCATTTTTAGCAGGTTAATAAAACTGCATACTCCATTTAAAATGTGAATTTTTGGCCGATTTTTGCAAATTTTCCTTTTTTTCCGAAAATGGGAAATTTCGGAAAAAATTTTTTTCGCCCGGATAAAGCTAGAAAGATTCGCCTGTTGATGCTGATCAAGAATATATATGATTTATAGGGTCGGAAATGACTCCTTCACTTTCTTTTAAGCTTCTGACTGAAGGTGCAATACCATTTTTATATCGGAATTAACTATATTTTATTTTTAAATTTTTACGGCAAATCAAAATTTAAAAATCTCATAACTGAGCCAAAAATGCATTAATTTCAATTCGGAAAGCGTTCCATTGTTCATTTTTAGCAGGTTAATAAAACTGCATACTCCATTTAAAATGTGAATTTTTGGCCGATTTTATACATTTGCAGGGTATTATAATTTCAGTCAGAAGTTTGCAACGCAGTGAAGGAGGCACCTCCGACTATATAAAGTATATATATTCTTGATCAGGATCAACAGCCGAGTCGATCTAGCCATGTCCGTCTGTCCGTCTGTCCGTCTGTCCGTTTCTACGCAAACTAGTCTCTCAGTTTTGAAGCTATCTGAATGAAACTTTGCAGTTAGTCTTCTATATACTCTCACTCGTATATATGTCGGAACGGGCCGGATCGGACGACTATATCATATAGCTGTCATAGGAATGATCGGAAAAGTTTTACAAAAAAAATTATAAAATTTTTAGTTTTCAACAGAATTTGATCAAATTTAAGATATAGCCATTTCATATTATTCTACAATTTTGTGTAAAATTTTATGAAAATCGGACTACTATATCATATAGCTCCCATAGGAACGATCGAGAAATTAATTCAATTTATAAGTATAACAGTTTCAGTTTTCAACAGATTTTCATCAAATTTGAGATATAGCCGTTTCATATTATTCTACAATTTTGTGTAAAATTTTATGAAAATCGGACTAATATATCATATAGCTCCCATAGGAACGATCGAGAAATTTGAGAGGAATGAGAATGGCGGTGGCTGTTGTCGGAAGACAATCGCGGTGGCGATAACATTTTTAGTTTTCAACAGAATTTAATCAAATTTGAAATATAGCCATTTCATATTATTCTAAAATTTTGTGTAAAATTTTATGAAAATCGGACTACTATATCATATAGCTCCCATAGGAACGATCGAGAAATTAATACAATTAAATTTATAACTTTTTTAGTTTTCAGCTGATTTTCATCAAATTTGAGGTATAGCCATTTTATATAAGTCTTAAATTTGTGGCAAATTCCGTAAAAATCGGACGACTATATCATATAGGTGCCATACAAACGATCGTTTGATGTAGAGGAAAAATGAAAATCTGTGAATGTAAAACTGCAAATATAATATGTATAGGTGAATGAAATGAAAGCAGGTATTACGTCATTGTTTTTTAACACAAATATATATAATTTATATTGTATGGATTCCTATTCATAGAAGTTCTATCTGCAAGGGTATATAAACTTCGGCGTGCCGAAGTTAGCTTCCTTTCTTGTTTATGTTAATACCCTGCAATGGCCGATCTCTCTGAACTCGCTGAGCCTGCGGCAGCGACACCTCCGCTCAGCTCTCCTGGATGTGGTGGAGGCACTCCTGGGCAGCGTGGGCAAAGAGATTGTGGAGGCGTCAGCCGGCGGAAGCGTGGCTCCCGAGCAGATAGTGTGCGCTCCCTCGTTGCCCAGCAGCCCATCTATGAGTCCCTAGTCCAAGCGGCGGACCATCAGTCCCAGGAGCTCCGGAGCCGGCAGCAATGCCTCCATGTCGCCATCTGGACTAAGTGTGGTGCCCAGCCTGCTGGACATGCGCTCTATGGTGCCAGCGGACTTTGGCTTGTCCGAATCGCTGCTGGCCAAGACCAATCCGGAGCTGGCACTTAAGCTGGCCGCGGCGGCAGCTGCAGCGGCAGCAGTGGCCGGAGGAGGTCCTTCCCAGGCGCAGGCTAGTGTTGGAAATCCAGGGGGAAGTGGAGCCTCTAGTGGTGCCCCCAGCAACCCCAGATCTATGTAAAACAGGGCGTATCCAAGTGCAAAGAGTGCAATATTGTCTTCTGCAAATATGAGAATTACCTGGCCCACAAGCAGCATTATTGCTCCGCCAGAAACCAGGAGGGTTCTGCCGAAGGGGATGCCAAGTCAGCTTTTTCCCCAGGAGCCGTGGGAGCCAGAGGTTCCAGCGGCGGAGGAGGATCAGAACCCGCCTCATCGGTGGAAACTACACCGGTGGCATACCAGCAACTGCGACATCAAGTACACCTCCCTGGACAACCTGTGGGCGCACCAGAACTCCTATTGTCCCAAGGCGGAAGCCGCATTTGGAGGAACGGCCACAGATTATATAACTCTCCGAATACCTAATAACCATTGGTCATTGTAATTAGCTTACGACGGGAACACCATAAGCCCAATAAACACATTTCGTTATCTTTATGACTAATACACTTTTTATTGAAATGATACGAGTACATAATTTATTTCGTATTTAACCTATTACAACAAAACGTGAAATAACTTAATGAAATTTCAAAAATTACAAAGAAATAAGAGATGTATCCGCCTCATTTGCTGGAATTCCCTCGCTCCACCAAGATCCCTAAGAGTAAGGCTGCCACGTAGCCACATTCTCTCGGCGTGTGTGTGCGTCATCCAAGGAGCAAGCTTAGATCAGATGATGGAGTTGTGAGTGTCTGAACCAAAGTTGATGTGAGGATGCTGTGGGAATTGTGTGGACTCTCTCTCTCGCATCCAGTTGCTGTCGTTAGGTGTAGTGTTGCGTAGTTTTCAATTAAATCGATATTGTAAAAGTAAAAAGATGCGAAAAGCGTTCTCGAAAACGCCTCTCTTCTAGATGTTCGACTTTGTTGTGGGTGTGTTTGTTGTGTGTTTATTTCTATGTAAGGGAGTTGATGGTATGCATTACTCGGTGGCCGCCATGGCACGAGCCTGGGCGCGCACACGCTTCTCATACTCCAAACGATTCTGGCAGTAGATGGTGTAGGCCTCCGCCTGGGCCGGATCCTTGATGTTGGGTTCGTTTAGCAGGTCCTGGATGCCCAGCAGAATCTGTTTAATGGTTATGGCGGGACGCCAGTCCTTCTCCTCGTCCAGCAGCGACAGACACACGGTGCCCGACGGGTAAACGTTGGGATGAAAAAGTGGCGGCTCGAACTTACACTTCGGCGGCGAAGTGGGGTAGTCGTCCTTGAATATCATGCGGAGCTTGTAGAGACCGCCCTCCCATGGCGTCGACTTCTTGCCGGGAATGGCGCACTCCCAGATCATCAGGTTGAGGGTGCCGTCCGGGTTCTTCGCTGGTCGGGCCACAAAGCCGAACGGGTGATCCTTACGCCAGGCCTTGCGCTCCTCCCCCAGTCGTGTAATGGCGATGCCAGACATAGTTCTCTACTCCTTTTCGTTCCTGTCTTTCGTTGCAATCTCCAAAATCTGCTTTACACGCGCGTCTGTCTCTGCAAAATGTGAGTGTGTGGGTGTGTGAGTGTGCGGTTAGGCTTGCCTTGTCTGGTCTGCTTCGGCCTCCCTGCCGAACATTCTGGTCTGCAACTTACCTTAAATGCAAACTGCAAGCGCTACTAATAATTAGTTGTAATGCTACTATTATTTGATTATTTTCCCTTTTTTGCTAATTCTAGCGCAATTTTCTCGGGAACGCTTCTGCTAGAGATGGTAACTAGGGAATGTGAAAACATCGATGACACTATTGAAGGCAGCACAGCGCGTAGTCGTAGCCGATAGTTTTTGAATGTTTTTCATGTTTCCACTGACAACTATCGATAACAAACTAACAGTTACGGTCAAAATATTGGCATATATTTTTAAACAATGTATAATTATAATGATTAATAATGAATATAATTAACAAATTGATAAACAAACAATTAACAAAATAAAATGAATAAATTTAATAAATTAAATATTTTGCATCCTAAAATATTTATGTAACTATTTTGAGGAATATTAAATAAGCAAGCAAGAAAACTTATCAATATTTGGAATAAATAAATTTTGACCGGACATATGTAGATCGCTTCAATTGTTGATCCTGATCAAGAATATATATGAATTATAGGGTCGGAAATGATTCCTTCACAGCGTTATCAGCTTCCAACTATAATTATAATAACCTGCCAAATTCGTATTTGAATATTTATTTTTATTTATTTAAATTTATGCCTCCCTTCCCCAGGAGGTACATAATTTATTGTTATATTTCTACAGTTTAATTTGATTCTGGTAGAAAAGTAGACAAATTAGTTTTCTACAATTGTAAACCTAGTCGAACTAAATAAGGTTGTTGTGCCTCACGCAAAGGAAAGTAACTAACTCAATCTAGTGAATCTTCGTCTTTTTGTTGCAGTGTATGGAGGAAGTGTGTGACAGGATGTTAAGCGGAAGCAGTAACAAAAAGAATGCCTGGCTTGGCTAGCGGCTGCAGAAGACATTTATTACGATGGAACGAATGGAGATGCTGTTCTCGGAGATTGGAGTCTGCTCCCGGCCTTACTTGGCCTTCTTGGACTCTTTCTTTTTGCTGCCGGAGGAGCTGGATGTGCTCTCCTCCTTGTCCTTCTTCTCTGGCTTTTCCTCAGGATGGTCTTCGTAGCTGCAAGAAAGGTTCTTATAGCGAAATATGAAGGTATGTATTGAGGGGAGACTTACGCGAACAGAACCTTAAGCTCCCCACGGACGAGCGCCACTAGCAGCGGCGTACCCATGCAGGCGGGCACCAGGTAGAGCAGCGCCGGCTGCGCGTGCTTAAAGACGTGCATCACAAATATGGTGGCAAGCAGACCCATGAAGTAGGCAATCAGCGTGGAGTAGAAGTAAATGCGCGTCTTGCGCTTTTTGCTGTCGTCGAAGCGCAGCAGCAGAGCAATGAAGATGCCCGGAATGACGATGTCGCCCAGACCCAACATGGCAAAGTTGGAGGCATTCAGTCCATGCTCGATGAGGTCCTGGGGGAACACTAGCTTGATCGGTGCCTCGAAGCTCTTGGCCACCGTGACCATCACATTGGTGCCAAACACCCAGAAGATGTCGTAGAAGAACAGACCGCTCAGTAGGATCACGCCCGTGACGAAATTGTTCAGGTGCAGCATCTCCACGCCGTTGATGGCAAAGGCCAGACCGAACAGGTTGTTGGCGATCCAGTGCTTCTTTAGCAGATACCACACACCAATCACGGAGGAGATCACTAGGCAAATAATATCGTGCGTGGAGAACTTGTAGTTGACAATGTCCTCCTTGTGCTTGCCCTCGCCCTTGGTGAACAGTATGTGGAAAGGCACCTTGGGCACCGCCGCCGGCATCAGCGAGTTGATAACCGGGCTGAGCAAGTGCGCCAACGCAATCACGCCTAGCACAAAGAAGTACCCGGTGAGCAGGTAGTTTATGTGCACCTTCTGGAACACCTTGAAGAACAGGTAAAGGCCAAACAGGGCTGCGGAAGCGATCAACGGGAAGTACATGGCATCCTTTTTCGTCATAGTATCGGCCTTCTCGCCCGTCGACTATGTAGAGGAGGAAACGAAGCATTAAGTTAGTATCTGGAGATGGATATCATGCCCCAATGAGCACCCACCTTCTTCAGCTTGTGCAGCTTCACGGAGCGTATGGAGCCAAATATGATGGGCAGCATGGCCATCACCACCAGGCTGCCGTAGGCCACCGCTATGCCCTCAGGCGTTGATGGCACCTTCTCTACCGGCGGCGCCGACTCGTTCTTTGGCGCGCCTCCTCCGCTCACATTCTCGAGGATGCCCTTGATGGCATCCCTAACGGTTCCAAGCACTTCCTCCGCCATGTCCTGTCTACTCTATCTGATTGGGCTCCCCGACTGAAAAATCACCGTATGATGGGGTGGAAATAAACGATATAAAAATGACACGCAGGCACACGTCAACAAATACAGATGGCACAGCGCTCGATTTATTCCGACGGCGATACATCGATTACGCTATCGATGCTATCGATTCGGCTATTTTTTATTTTAAATGAGTTTAAATGCCGCATTCATCATTAGAGAATTGCCCAAATAAGAATTTGGAAAATTAATTTATTTAACACTTGCACTGTGTACATTTAATCACATTAATTTCACAAAAAGGAAATTTGTTTAAATTATTTGGGACCAAGCCGATACTATAAATGCAAAACTGCAGCATGCTTTTAGGCGGCCTCTGAACTGATATCCAAAATATGTACTTTTCCGTTTATTTTAAATTGAAAACCTAAATAGAAATAAATACAACTACTAGCAAATAATTCGTATCAAAATTTATGGAATCAGCTGAATGAAATACAGTGTGGCAAACGCCCACGCACACTCGCATTCAGTATGTGGGCTGTTATCTGCGACGCCGAGCGGATCGACAGAGCAGTCAGTGGTGATATCAGAGCTGCGGCCATGTGCCAAGCCGGAGAACAGAGCTCAGTTGCGTACGAGAGCCCAGTGAGCGAGCATTGGATAGGAGGCCTACTTAAGACATTTCCAAATAAACCCAACCATGAAGGCGAGCCTGAAGATAAAGACACCGATTTCCGGTATGGAACTACTGCTACTGGGCTTGGCAGCAGCTTCCGTGCCAGGCGCCACTGGTGAGTTATAGAAACCTCATTTTTTGATATATTTGACCGATTTAATCAATTGATTAACTGATCCAAGCAGCCGACACGAATATTGGCGGTGTCAAGGCCTTGGATCGCCTCCATGCTGGGCTCTTCCTCAACTATGACAGCCTGGTGCAGCCCCAGTTCGAAAGCGTGCCCACGCCCGTCTCGCTGGGCCTGGTGATCAACTACATAGACATCGAAGAGATCAACGGCAAGCTGACCGTTCACTGCTATCTGAATATCGTAAGATTACAGTACTCACCTTGTTGCTCCTGTTCTACTAATACCTGTTCTTCTTTAGCGCTGGAAGGACGAGAACCTGACCTGGCAGCCCTCGGAGTACGACAACATAACGCAGATCATTGTGCGTTCCAGTGAGGTGTGGAAGCCGCAGATCACACTCTTAAACGGCGACGAGGGCGGGCTCCTGGCGGACACCCAGGTGCTGATAGACCACCATGGTCACCTACTGCGGGTTCCTCCTGCTGTGTACACCGCCTACTGCAATCTCAACATGCAGAACTGGCCGCAAGACGAGCAAACCTGCACCTTGCAGATCGGCTCGTGGGGCTTAAAGAACATTGTGGCAGAGAATATAACTGACAAGGACGCCGTCCTGGACTACGATGAGCTGGTGCAGTCGCCCGAGTGGGAGATTGTGAATTCTAAGGCGAGGTTCGTCAGCCAGGACTTTTATGGCTACATGGAGTACACGCTGACGGCAAAGCGAAGGTCCTCCATGTACACCGCTGTCATCTATACGCCGGCGTCCTGTATTGTCATCCTGGCCCTCGCCGCCTTCTGGCTGCCTCCGCACATGGGTGGCGAGAAGATAATGATCAATGGATTGCTCATCGTCGTCATTGCGGCCTTCTTTATGTACTTTGCCCAGCTGGTGCCGGTCCTGGCCAACAAGACGCCGCTAGTGGGTGAGTCAGGGCGAGCTCTGGTTAAACCAAGAAACTTTAATTCATTTTCTGTTATTCCCTCCGGTTCATTGCAGTCATCTTCTATAGCACCACTCTGTTGCTGCTGAGCGTGTCCACGATAATTGAGGTGGCCGTGCTGTACCTGGCCACTGTCAGGCACAAGAGACGCATCCCTGATGTCCTCAGGAAGCTCCTCCACGGCAATGTCGGCACCTGGCTGCTGCTCTCGCACTTCTGCATCCAGCCAGCGCTGCAACAGGCGGAGAAGACCAATGAGCTCTACGAGCACCAGCAGGAACAGGAGCAGAATTTTTACGAAAATGACGAGGATGAGTCAACGAATCCCTTGGACATCAATCCCAGCGAGGTGCCCGCGTACAAAGCCATCCAGTTCGACTGGGCGCTGCTGGCCACTGCCGTGGATCGTGTTTTCTTCGTGGTCTACAGTCTGTCCTTCCTCATCCTGGCCATAGTGTGTGCTGTCTAGGATTAGGAGAGGAACATGTAATCCTTAAGCATCATTTATTTTTTAATCGATGTGCAAACTTAAAAATACTTAATGATCAGAGCCCTTTGTTGGAATAAATAAAGGACCTCTTACAACTAGAAGAAGCCAAGGATAACAGGCGAAGGATAACAAATTGAGGCTCGTCTCCGAGTATTGCTCCAAGGTTATCACACTTATTAACCCCACAATTAACCCAAAGTGGCTGGAATTATGCGAAACGACCTTTTTTAGTGCCGGCTGACCCTTCGTCCGAGGATGTGTGGCTCGCTCGCACTTACTCTCTCTCTGCGCAATGGGTGGTCCTGTGCGCAGCTCCAGCAACTCCTCCTCCTTTCCTGAACGACCAACGGCAACAAATTGGGGTTGCTCTGCGGGCTCAATTAAATGCATTTGGGGTGGTGCTGTCCTGTGTCCTGGCAGGGTCTCCAGCTCCAGCTGTCCCGCCTTGGAATGAAGCTGGGAAATTCGATGTTGAGGTGGAGGCGGCATTAGCGATTGGCGCCTGGCCAGGCGAGAGCTGAGACGAGGCCGTCGAGGGCGAGGGGAAGCCCAGACTGGAGCTGGTGGAGGCAGGCGATGTGTGGTGTGGCGGATGCAGAAAGTGAGGCTGCCCCAGCTGATGATGCGGATGCGAGTGCTGATGATGATGCGGGTGATGGTGGTGCGGGTGGTGCAGCGGCGGCGGCGGCGGTGGGTGGCGGACCACCTGCATTCCTCCGCCCCCGCCGCTGTGGTGATTGTAGGAACCTAACATACTGGCGGCAGGATCTCCGCCCTGCGCCTGGGCCTGGCAGGCGGCCATCAAGCCATGGAAGTCGAACTTGTACGCATAGCGCTTCCCATGCACCTTGGTCATGATATTCTTGTCATAATAGTATCTGTAAAAAATTAATTTATAATTATATACTTTAATTATATTTATTTTTTAAAACAAACATGAAAATCAGATTTCTAAACAAAATTAAATTTGATTTTTCAAAATCCTACAGATTCATTGATAGTAATCCCAGTATTTTTCCCCTATCCAGTAACAGATGAGTAAATATAATAATTATATAATTTAATTTTGTATAATAATTTTTGGGAACACTTAAGCTTAAAAATTTAATAACTTAGCCAAAAATGTATTACTTTCAATTCGGAAAGCTTTCCTATGCTAGTTTTTACAAGCTAAATAAATCTGCATACTCACTTAAAAAAGTTAAAAAATCAACGTTTTTGCCAATTTTAACAAAATTTGCAAAATTTGAAAAATTGGAAAAAATGACATAGCTAGATCGATTCAGTTGATCCTGATCAAGAATATATATGATTTATAGGGTCGGAAATGATTCCTTCACTGCGTTTTGAGCTTCTGACTGAAATTAGAATTCCCTCAAATTTAAATATTTTACTAACATTTTTATAAACCTTTTTGGGAATAGTGAATCTTAAAAATACAATACCTAAGCCAAAAATGGATTAATTTCAATTCGGAAAGGTTTTCTATGCTAGTTTTTACAAGGTTAATAAATCTGCATACTCAATTAAATCGATGCTTATGAAGAATATATATTACAGCATATTATTCACATCGTTACAAGCTTCTGACTAAGTTTAGAATGCCGTGCTAGGGTATAATAGGTATTAAACTCACCTGAGGGCCCGGCTCAGCTTGTCATAGTTCATATTGGGCTTGGCCTTGCGCTCGCCCCAGCGCTTGGCCACCTCGTCGGGGTCGATGAGCCGGAACTCGCCCGATTGGCCCTCCCAGCTGATGCAGGCGGCGTTGGACGAATCGGCGAGCAGCTCCAGCAGAAACTGCCATAGCTGAATCTGGCCCCCGGAGCCCTGGGCGACCAATCGGTGCGAGGCAGCATTCAGCAGCTGATATGGATCTGGGGGAGAAGGGGGTCATTAGTCGTCAGATACACAGATACATATATATGTGCTTCTCGCTAGAGAGGAACAGAGAGCAGATACGAGAACAAGACAGAGAGAGAGAAATGGAACCCATACAACGCTAACATAAACGAGCTTTTCTGTGGAGCGGGAGGCAGAGGCGACGTGGACTGAGTGCCAAGTGATGGCTCTGAAAGGCCATAAGCCGGTGCGGATTCGCAGAAAATCAACCGCAGGCGGACATAAATCCTGGACAGCTCACTACACAGCGAGAAAAGCGGGTTTCAGAAGCCAGTCTAACCAGTTTAATCGAAAATCCAGAGAGATTTCAATTATAAATACTTGTTTTCTTTGAATTTGTTTAAACACTTGAAGATTGTAAGATTGAAACTAGTTTTGAAGAAAGAAAACTGTAAGGTCGCTTAATTACTTTTTAATATTTAACAATAACACACCTAATAAGGTAAAATAATACTATTTTTAATTAATTTAAATATTTAATCAAAAAACTCCTTAAATACATTCATTCAATATTAATTTTCATTTTTTTAAATGCCTAATCAGGTAAAAATCAAAGTTGGTTTGTAAATAGAAAGCTGTGGTACTTGAATATTATTTTAAGATAAGATATATATTCTTAAGATATGAGTATTATTTGCATATGTATTGAATAAAAACTAAAAAAATACCATGTTTAAATGTCGCATCTTTCTTTTTTAAATAAATGATGTGCAAGGATTGTTACTGTTTTTTACATTAGTAAAAATTTGTATTTATTCATAAACCTTACTTTATTGTGGTTTACAAAAAAATAAAAATAAATAAAAAGCAAAATCACACAATCAGTTCAAGTCTGAGCCGTACTTCAATTTCTTTTAGAGGCTTGTACAATTTGTTAATATCCGATTCAGCTGAGAAAATTTTAGTTTAATTTTATAGCTATTTGTTTAAAAAAATATTTTAAAAAAACATCTTCCTTATTAAGCACATTTCCTTATATGGACCTCATACCCCATACCTTAAAAACCTAAATTAAGCCATTGAATAGGAAGTAATTACTAAGCTAAGCTAAATGAACTATATATATATTATATATAGAAAACTGGTATCAGGAGTTGGTTTTGAGGCTTCTAGTATTTGCGGGTAAATTCTTTACGTCTTCATTGGGGACATTCCCACATCCTCGACTTAGTTCTACCGGGAATCCCCTTTGAAGACCGGCGCAAAAGTCACGAAAGTGCCATAATCAAAGGTGACTCATCCCAGCACGCCGTCTGTGATCAAGCGTAGCCACGGCCATGAGACACCTCTCACACTGCCAGCGGCTAGAAAATGTCCGAACGGCAAGAGCAAGAGCCCCTGGTAGCACCACCGATCCCATTCAGCTCCCTAGGCGCCGGAAATGCCGACGATCGAGTGGCTGCCATTCCATTCAGAGAAGCATTCACAAGTTCATTCACAAGTTTTTCGGATGTATTGCCTCTCTCTTGGCGGAAATTCCGATGATTTTTCGGCGGCGAGATGTATCTCTTACCATTGAAGATCATCGAGGTGTGCGGATGCTGGTGGTGCTGGTGGTGATGGTGGTAGTGGTGGTGCACCGCCGAATGCGGATGTGGATGCGAGTGCTGGCCGACGACGGGCGGTGCCGTCGACTGCATGCGGAGGCCGAAGCGCCGGTTAAAGTCCTCCGAGAGGCGCCACATGACACCCACGTCCACGCTGACGCTCATGGCGGGTATATTTGAATCACTTTTAGGTTTTTAAATGTTTTCAATGAATTTATTTATTATTTTTAGCAATATGAACTGTAAAGCATAATAAATCCCTGAACTTTGAACCTTGAGGTTTGTTTAATTACTTTACGAATTTATTTTAATCACTTTGGAAATTTCTTGCTTTCTAAATGTAGTTAAATATTAATTTACTTGGGGATTTACTGCATTAACTAGTCACGCTTTAATTTTTTATATGTTTATTTTATTTATTTTTAGGAGCGTGTGAACTGCGTCGGACCAGGGCCCATTGGCAACTGAAACTTTAGCCGGGCCGGATTTCGGTCCTTAGCATCTTCGCCCGGCAGCTTCCGAGGACACAGCGCAACTCCGAGGCAACTCTTGGAAAGATTACGGCTCACCTGCGCAGCTGGTGGTAAATGCTGCTTCGGCATTCGCCGGCGAAGTCACAAATGTCAGAGGCCAAAAGTCAGGAGTCAGGAGCCACGTGCAGCCACTCAACCACCGCCACCCACCAACAAAAGCACAATAAACAACCAGAGGAGGAGGAGGAGGTGGAAGCAGAATGCTCTCGTCCAGTTTTTAGACTATAGAATACTCATCAGATTGTTCACCCAGTTATTTATATACTGTCATGGGACTTGATTAAGTTTTTAAAAAAGAATTAAATACGTTGGTAAGCAAATTTTCGAAGAAAAATATGTTCGGCATTTGGTAAAAATTGCTATATTTTATAGATGGCTCCCACGCATTTAAGAATATTTGAACAATGCATTAAATGTATTATTTTCAAACTTGAGATATAATGTTGAGAAGAGGAATGCGGAAACAAAGGGAGTTTAAAGATATAATAAAAACTAACATATAACCGCTTTCCGAATTGAAATTAATCCTTTTTTGTTTTGCTTAGTTATCAGGTTTTTAAGCTTTGATTTGTCCGAAAAATTGTCATTTTAAATTCAAATAATTTATCCAACTTTTTTGAATTTTATGTATTGTTATTGTGTTTATTGAGCCAATAAAAATCTACCTACTTCTGAAAACCTTCCAACCCTCAAATACCCTGGTTTTCTGCTATTGTCGAGCAGAAAAGGGGGCGGTGACTCGGGACATTGGTAAAACCAACTATGATGGCAAAACTCCCGGGTAATCTACGTGACGGCAACGCCGACAACGAGTAATCCTCGTTGGCATAAAAAACAAATCAATTAAATCGACGTCGCCGGCTCTCGGGATCAGGCCAGCGAGCCACCTATGGCACAGACCCAAATCAGAGGAGGCTTTCCGCCACAGGAAGGATGCGACGAATGAATATTTTCCTGTGCCCACCTCCTCCTGGAAGCTGGAGCTGACCACCCGCGGTGCTGTTGTCACCGAAAAGCCACCCAATGCCGACGCCGTTCCCCAACTTCATCTGAAACTTGACTCGGCGGGATTATTTTGATTTTATTATTAGATGCCACATCCTGCGAGAAATTATCATATTTACATCGTTTATTATTAAGTTCATCACTTGAGACTGGGCGAAATCTTTGCCAAGTAATAAGTGGAAAAGTGCTGCTGTCGCGAAGAGATTTTCCCAGCGATTTACGTTTATGGAGTTGCGAGAAACTTCGTGGAGGAAAAGGTAATTAAAAGGTTGTTGTTCCCACACCTTTGTGCCGAGCAACTTTTCTCCCTTATCAACACATTAAGTAAAGAGGGAATTAAGAAGGAATAAAGCAAGAGGTCTTAGGAGTGGGGAAAACAATCAATGAAACACATAAGTTACCCTTAATCTTAATCAGTTGCCATTTAACTGAGCGCAGAGGTCAGAAACTGATTCAATTCAATTGATGCCTGACCACAAAGGATTCTCCACACATGCTGGACTCGAACTCGGGTCTGGAGCCAATCGCACTATTGGGAATAGCACGTGAACCCAATTACCAAGCAGCTCAATCTTTGGCCTCTTAGACGCCTCAGATTTATTGGCAGCGAGATTAGAAGAGAGCCTTTTTGTTTGAAAAAAAATATTTCTGGATTGGGCAGGACACCAGGGATAATCCTTTCGAATATATACTTTAAGCGGGAAAATTTAGATTTGGCATAACTGGAACAATTTCTAAGTAGAGTTATTGAGCTATATTTTACAGTTCCATTACACCTCTAAGACCCTCTAATGTAAAAGCAAAGCAACACAGATAGTTTCTTTTTAACTGCACTCTGTCTCTTGTATGTACTCTCTACGATTTCATTTCAAGAAGATCCCCGAACAACAAAAGGATTTTGAAATAGGGAGAGACTGGAATCAAATGTTAACATGGATAAAGTCGATTGTACTTTGGGTCTATAAAAAACAAGATATAATAATTTCATATTTTACCAAGAAAGCAAACTAACTTGGGAAAACGGAAGCTTGTATACCGTTGCAGCGTGACATTGAATTATAAGATCGTATCGGAAATCGATCATAACTAAGACGAAAATATTCGTATTCTTTGAACATTGTTTATCAAGATTTTTAAATGACAATTTTTGCGACAATTTAAAGTTTAAAAAACTTATACCTAAGCCAAAAATGCATTAATTCCGATTCGGAAAGCGTTCCTATGCTAGTTTTCACAAGATTAATAAAACTGAATACTCAATTTAAAATTAAAATTTTTGACAATTTTTGACAATTATAACGATGTAACCCCTTATAAAATTTTCTACATTTTGAAAAAATTAAATTTTTGTTGGACAAAGCTCGTTAGATTCAGCTGTTGATCCTGTTCAAGAATATATATGATTTATAGGGTCGGAAATGACTCCTTCATAGCATTACAAGCTTCTGACTAAAATTAGAATACCCTTAAAGTGTATAAAAATATATAATCCATTTGAAGAATTCTCTAAAAATTCCCTGTCTCAATATAAAACTCTCTCTTCGTATTTTCAAATCCCATTCCCATCCTGTACTCACTTGGCTCGTTGTCATTCAGCATGGGACTCGTCTCCCTTCCGGTGGCATGGTACAAGCTCAGCGCGAAATGCTTAGACAGGAGCATCCCGCCGCGTCTTGATCCGGCACAGACCCAGAAATCCGCACGGGTTAGCTCGCACAGTTCCTGGCCATCCTTGGGGAACCTGGTGATGTCCGGCTCCGGATCCAATTTGAATTTACGCGTTGTCCACCGGACCCAGCTGGAGATGTCCTCCGCGGTCCAGGCATGCGGATCCACAGGCACTTCGACGGGCGTGATGCTCCGATTGGAGTCCAGGGAATCCCTTCTGCTTGCTGGAGCCTCTTCTGGTTGGTGAGAGGGAGAGGTGGCAATGGGAGCCAGAGGTTGGCACTCTGGCAAGTTGAGGGCGGGTGGCAAAGGTATACTTCTCTTCCTTCTACTTCTGCTGCTGCCAGTGGCGGAGGAGGAAGAGGTTGAAGATCCGGAGGAACTGGTATCCGAGTCTGTGGACGAATCCGAGTAGGATTCACTAGTGTCACTGGTGGAGCTGCTACTGCAGCGTCTCCTCCTTCGTCGCCTGCCCGGAGAGCTACCTTCTGCCACCTCCGCTTTCTTCTCCTTCGCTTCCAGTTGGGTTTCGCTCTCTCCACATCCGATGCTCTTTCGCCGGACATCCTGGTGCATGGCATTAACCACTGCCCTCGGTTGGCACCAAGTACGGTATGGTATGGTCTGTGGGTGGACTTGGCTTGCGTTTAGGATTTGGTGGCGATTCTGCAGAATGGCCATTAAGGGAGGCGACACTTGAGGATGATATTTGTATTGTTTATATTTTAATATTTGTAATAACTTTCAATATTTTTCTTTGGGAACTTTACAGGGAGCTCATTGTCAGCTGAATGCCTTTGGTAGGATTTTGATTTTATTCGGGTTAAACATAATATTCTGTTATATTTTTCACTTAGTTATGGACACATTTATTGTTATTTTTTAGCTGGTATAAAGTTAATACTAGTATTTTGATCACTTTTGTTTTTTATTTTTGCTCTTTCATAGAATATACGTTCATAGAATATTGTTGTATCACTTTCACTATGAAATATTTATTATTTAAATATGATATTTACATATAGCAGCAGATTCCTTGATTACTTTTCACTTCATGGCGAAATCATATGGTAGTTTTTGAACTATTTCAGCATACGTTACTTGATTAAAACTTGTTTTAGTTGTTTAATATTTCCACGACACTTTTAATTATTGTTTATAACCTTTTTAAGTAAATGTTGCACTTAAAATTATTAAATTGTATTATTCCATTTGATTCCATTTATTTCTTGTTTGTTATTATTCATTTAAAGTTGGTTTGATTCATATTAATTCCAGGAATATCGCCCAATAAAAAGCACTGATTTAGCTTATCGCCTGCAACCGGTTGGAAGGTGGAAAAACAACACGGATTTAGGATATGGCCTGGATGATTCACCATCACCTGTTGGCAGAACAAGTGGCATTAGCTCCCGGCTTTCCGCACGTGCCGGATATCGCGGAAATCTTTGCGGCGGAAAGTTCGCAACGATAGGAAATCTTTTAATGACCGTTATTGTTCCAGAGACCGATTACGACGGAGGCAGAGTAGTTTACTTAATACTGGGTGGACCTTTGAACTCCGTCCCATGAGCCTACGCGTCCGCACCGATCCGCGAGTGACGAGCCAATGATCAGCGCCGGCAATGTGTGATAAAGCGATGACGAAGTCGTAGTCCACGCGAGCTTTTTGCTCTCTCGCGGATCGCTTGGTGCCTTCTGATCAATCTGGCTAAAATCGAGTAACTTCTAGTGGCCTTCCAACCAGATTCGCTAGGGGGTTCGTGAGCTTTCGCTCTTGTGGAGGCGACTCTCCTTATCGCGAGCAAATAACAACCTTAAGCATGACGTCGTGGAACTGGCGCACTCGCCGGGTGAGTCACCCGTCCATAGAGCAAACACATTGCTGTGGATCGGCGGGAACTTGGAGTTCCCCAGCTTTGCTGGCGAGAGGAGAGAGGAGGTAAGGTCGTTCGGCGACCACACGAAAATTCATTCATCGATTCGTATGGGTTCTCTTTCTCTTTCTGTCTCTTCAAAGGCAATCGTTTTTCTCGCTTTTTGTTTATGTCGCGTCATTTTTCTGGGAAATCTGCCATGAGTCGTTGGTTGTCTGTGGCCACAAGCCTACTTATGGGTTGGTCTAATGGTAGTATCTCTTCGATATTTGGCCAACAGGTCGCTTCACCAAAGCTCACACGGTGAGAAAAGTCTGAAAAGAATTGAGCATTAGAAGCGTTCGTACTTAAGTATAGATTTATATCATTTATCTTACCACATTTTTGGATCATTTGTGGAATATGAAGCTTTTGGGGCTTATGTTTTGTGTAATTAGTGTTCATATTTTGATGAGGCTTTCTTAATAAAACTCTAAGGCATAAGGGTCCTTGTTTTCGGTGGTGGATTAGTTTACGTTGTGTTACTAAAATAGTCTTTCGAGAATCCAATCATCTGCTGAGTTTAGTCTGCGGAATTTTAAAAAACAACAAATATGTATTATAAGATAAAATTTACGAGAAAATTGTGCTTCACTGATTACACTTACTGGTTTATTTCATCACAAGGTGTTATTTATCCTTTGTTGACGCATCATCAGCAGGTAAGATCAAGTATTTTGTATTGCATTTTAAAAGTCTCCGCCGCTTTCTTATAGTTCATTAACAGGTAAAGTCCAACAATAAATAGTATTATAATAGCCCCTTTCAAGTCATACTCAATGGTTTATGATCCATCTTAAACTATCACAATACACGACAAGATAACTCCAAGTTAAATAAGTATGACCCAATCTAAACACAATTGTTTTCTGTGCACAAACATATAGCTCATTACGATCCATCTCCCCCCATTTGGAGCATATCAGCTTGCAATTGCTTGCCTCGTCGGCTTGTTTGAGTTTCAGCTGAGGATTCCGGGAAATTGCTTCTGATTTCATAGCCCACGATGGGGACGGTTTTGGCAAGTGATTCATGCTTTCAATTCGATGGCCCACTCTCTCACTTTTATCGCTGGCGCCGGCAAAAATATACAATCAAAATCCATATCTCGGTTTATATTTGTTTTGTTGTGACGTTCTTCACCCGGAGCCCAGGAGAGCTTTTACTAGACTCGCGTATATCGAATATAGTTCATTCATAAAAGCCCTACAATGAGTTGTGAGCAATCAAGCGATATAGTATATATGTACATATATTAATAGATTGCTCATTGCATTTGTTGGAGTACTTTGAACGTGGTTACGTTTTGTTTAGAGTGACGAGATGAATTAGAAAAGGGTGCTTTCCACTAGGCTTTCCTAGTCACGGCATTATATCATTTTGCGTTATCATTCTTATGACATTCGTATCAAGTAGGGGGATCTTTGACTAGTAGGATTTTTCAATACTCTTAATTTGTGGAATTATTCTGTTATTCATTCAAGTACTTGGGTTTTTTTTGCATTTGATATATACTTCTCACTCTAAAAGGGATATGATATTTCAATATCTACTGATATTTCAACAATCAATATCGTATAGTTTAATATTTTGAAAAATTAAACATGAAATACCAAATTATTGTATACATTGCGAATGTAAATATGGTAAATATATAGCTTTAAACGCTTAAATGTTGGTGTTATTGAATAAATAAGCGATACATTTTAAAACCTTTATCTGCAATTTATAATTTTTATTTATTCGATATTAGATTAGATTTCCCTAGAGGTTTTCTCAATACTATTTCTCAAATGCACCTCTAGAACATGCAGTCAATAATTGGTTTGAATCAAAGAAATGTAAACTAAACACTTACCTTGCGTCTGGATAAAGGTATTTGTTTATTATTATTTATTCAGCGGAATAAATACTGCCATGACTAGTTCCTAGAGTATTTTTGAATCATCCTAGTGCAGCTCCTCGGTAATCTCCTCGTCATCAGCCTCGTCGTCGTCATAGCTTGCCCTTGTTGTCGTCATGGCAGAGGTTCTGCTGCTGCTGCTCATTCCCGTGCTCATCGTGGAGGCGGTGACCACCTGGCGACCCGAGTTCCATATGAGATCGAAGTCTAGGTCGCATTCCTTGGCTATTTTCTGGACTATACCACGATCCACCAAACCCGAAGCACTCCATGAGTTGTCCTTGACAGCCAGTTCCTTGAGAGCTCGGCCCGCTTCGGGATATTGCTTGGCATAGACCAGAGATCGCACTAGCATGGCCAAAATGTGCGCATGGCGGATGGGAGGTAGCTCTGGCTTGACTAAAAGGGGTCGCCCATTAGTTAATGAAACCGAAAAAAGATACCTATACGTACCCAACATGCTCCGACAGGAACCTATCACCAACTGATGGTCGCCATCCCTCAGGGCCTGCTGTATCTCTAGAATGACCTTGACATCCGCCACCGTGCGCTGCAGATTATTGTAGGCATGCTGGGCATGGGTGAGCTTTTCCAGGCACTTGGAGGCCTCTTGCATGGCCGTCAAGGCCTTGCCATAATCCTGGAACTCCTCAATCTCGATCTGAGCGCAGATGGCATAGAAGTTGGCCAGAGAATCGAAAGCCTGACCCTTCGTATAAAAGCTGACGATGTGCTTGAGGATCTGGGGATCTGATTGCCAATCCAAGGCCTGCAGATAGTTGGCTGCCATGATGTACACCTCACGTTGCCGGGACATATTGGCAAAGAAGATAATTTTGTCGGTATTTCCAGACTTCAACAGACTCTTCATGGCTCTCATTTTGTCACCAGCTTGGGTGAACTTCTTGGTGGCACTGTGGTAGTCTCCCTGCTGCTGTAGGAGCTCTCCCAGTTGGATGAGGATGTTGACCCGTGTAGCCTCCTCGAATTCCCCTTTCTCGGGGGTAAGCATCTCCGATAGCTCTTCGGTTACAGGAACTCCCCTCTCCAGGCAGATACCCACCGCTCTCTCCAGGTGCCTGGTCTTGGCCAGGAGCTGGACAGCCTTTTGGAACTGCTCGATGCTGCTAAAGAAATCCGCACAGCGATTGATTAGCTCGGCGTCTGACTCGGGAACCAGTTCCGAAGCTATAATCTCCAGGATCTCGGGCTGCTGGCTCTCGAAGGCCATCTCAAGGGCCTTGTGGAGCATCCCAGCCCGATGGTATAGCTCGACGGCGTGCTTAAAGTTTCCGCACTCTTCGAAGTAGGCCGCTGCTATGGCCTTGTCTCGTTGTCTTGAGGAACTGGCCACGGTCCAGAGCTCCTCCTGGAAATCGTTCTCCTTGCAGATGCGTATGGCATTGCTGAATGTCTGGGCGCGTGTAAAAAACATAATGGCCTCCTGGAACTTTCCTACGTTCTCGTAGTGCCTTGCCAAGTGATAGCAGGCAGCCCGATCTCCCGACTGCCTGGCTATGGCATCAGCTTTTGAGATCTTTCCCAGGTAACAGAGGATTTTGACCTGGCAGAGATTAAAACGTAGGAGAAATGGAGAATAGTTCTTAAATAATTTAGCATACCTGTGAAAACCAATCCTCTGCCTTGTGGTAGACACTCAACGCAGCGTCCATATCCCCGGAGCTCTCGATGTATTGACCCCACCACTTGAGCAGCTTGGGATCCGAAGTGGTCTGGATGTAACGCTTCATGGCCGCTGGGTTCTCCAACAGCAACTGGGTTATATTCTGTGCCGGATTCTGCGTCTTCTCAAAGTATTCCAGTGCGCCCTTTATGTCACCACGTTCACGCAGCTCCTGTGCCTTCTGGTAGTAGGTGTGCTTCAGATGAATCCTGTCCTCGGTCTCCGCCACCTCTAGAGCCTCGTCCAGGTGCCCCGTGGCCTGTAGGAGTTGGTTTAGCAAATCGAATCGCTTGCAGCGACGATACAGATCTTTGGCCTCCTCAATCATGCCTAGTTCTATGGCCAGGACTGCCACTTTTGCTTCGGTTTCCAAATCATCATCTTCGATGGCCTGTCGGAGGGCACGAACCGAGCGTGCCTGCTCCAGGTGACCCATGCACACTTTGGCAACATCCAAACGATTGGTGTGGACACACATCTTGGCCAGGTTGGTCCAGATCACCTTGGACTGAATGCTGCGTATGCTGCGATAGGCCAGATCCATGTTTCCCTCCGCCACATAGAGACTGAAGTTTAGGACTTGCTTCCTCGTCACAGCATCGCATTGCTGGAGGTCTACGAAGTCCTGGAGAGGCTGCTCTTCTACTGCATTGATCTTCAAGAGGAGCACATTGGGCACGCAAAGATTGAGCAGCTGAGAGCCCGGCTTAAGGGGCTGGGTCTCCAGGACATTGAGGGTATCTTTTTCAGAGTAAAACAAGAGCAAGATCTGCGACTGCACAAAGTGACTGGGCTGCTGGGCGTGGGCGTGGGAGTGATGGGAGTTCTTTGGGGGCACAATCTTTTTTTGCATCATTGACTTCACCTCCATGGCGAGGAGTCTCGGTTCATCGGCGTCCCAGTAAATACGCACAGGGAGGCTAGAGGTCTCTTTCTTGGACTCTCCCTCTCCAAGACCATATTCCAAGAGATTATTCCTCTCGAAATCCCAGCAGTACAGCCTGGATATGGGCGTAAAACTGTTGCTGGCTATCACCATGGCCAGGTGGTTTCCCTGACTGTTGCACTTCACCAAAATGAACTCACCAAAGTCATCGAAGATGTCGTGACCCGACTTGCTGGGGAACAGCAGCTTCGGATCATGCCTGGACACATCATAGGCCTTGACATAACCATTCATGGTGAACAGGGAGAGATGACAGCCACTCAGGTCCATGCCAATGATTTTGCCTTCGATGTCGCTGGCCTGCAGTCGATGGAGAACCACGCCACCCACGGAATAGATCATAATGTCGCTGATTCCCAGGCAGAAGATGTTCTGGTTGTGCAGTCCCAACGAAAGGCACTCGGCGGGAAAGGTCTGCAGGAGTTTAACACTCAACGATGGCGAGGCTCCGGTAGATGGTGGAGCTTCGGCTCCCTCCACGGCCTCCAGGATCTCATCAAACTCGTCTAGGCTTTTTTTCTCCACCCTTTGCAGGCTGTAGGATGAGATGCTCCTGCCATTGCTTAGCACCAAGCTCAGTTCGTTCAGGGCTAAGGCCGTCACTGGGAACTCCGATTGGACCATGGTCTCCCGACCGCTGCAGTGCGTCAACTGCACTGTCTTAGCTGCGCGCTGAACGGCCCACAGTTCGCGGATATGAACGGCTAGTAGAGGCTGCTCCTTTAGCATAAACACATTCGAGGGACAGTTGACCAGCATGCAGGGTTTCCCCAGCTCATTGAATCCCCATTCGCAGCTTCGGATGGCTCCTCCTCTCACCGAAGATATATTCGTCAACTGCCATGCTTCTTCTGGGGCACTCACTAGCCTACTTCCGCTCCTCTTCCAGGCGTACAGATTCCCCTGAGAGGTTCCCGCACACAGAGTTTGATTCGTGTTGCTGTAGGCCAGGCAAGTGAATATCTCTTCGCCGAACTTGGGCGTCTTTCGGGGCACACTGCTGCTCTCGGTGCTGTCCGGGCTAAAGAACTGATTGGACGAGGACAAGGTACCGTTGCTCAAGCTGGTCATGGAGGATCCTACCTGATTGCCACTGGGCAGATCCATTTTTAAAAGGTAATTGTCACTCCTTTCGATGTCCCAAATACGCACAAATAGATCGCCTGGGGAGGGAAATTAAATATATTAAATTAATATTATATTATCTCTCTAGTACTGATCACTTATCTACATACCTGTGATGATGGCCAGCGAGTTCCCCGACCAGGCAATCCCACCCTGTCTGCCTCCTCCCCGACCGCTCATCTTGACACGATCTAGCTCGGTGAGTATGCCCGTGGACTCTACCAGGAACAGGGTCACAGTCAGGTCCTCCATTAGGCAGATGACAGCATCTCTAAAATATGTAAGAGTATTAAATTAAAGGCTTAGGATTGGATACTCGTACATACTTCTTGGGATGCCACAACATCTGGACAATGGGCGGCAGGGAGCCGCACTTCATCACCTCCAGACAGGCGCCTCCCTGGTTAATGTAGTAAACCACTCCGCCCTGTGTGCAGGCATAGAAGCAGTGGTTATCTCTCACTCCCGAATGGGTCATACCCCTAGCCGCAGTCCTCGGTCTCCAATTGGTCAGAGTGTCCAAAGCATTCTCGTCGCCGGCCACCGCTGCCTTCGCCAAATTGGCCATCTCCTCGCGCACCTCGCTCTCCACTGTCCGTCGGAAGCATATCAGCAGCAGCACCTCCCTTAGATCGTGCGAGAACATGGTGAGGAACTGGTACTGACCATCGCAACGCCATCCGGTGACCAAGCCCATGGCGTCAGCCGTGACCATGCGTCCGCCCTGCTCGCTAAACTGCAGCAGGACAATGGCCGCCTTGTGTGGGGCACTGACACTGGCGAACTCTCGGTGTCCTGCGAACCACACATGGATATCGCCGTGCTCCCAGCCGCTGGCCAGCAGAGCCTTCTCCGGGTGCCAACAAAGGGCCGTGGCCTGGGAGGTGGCGTGCACTGGGTATGTGACATCCCGCTGTGGTTCACCCTGCCGGATTTTAATTACGTACTTAATAAAATATTAATTATGGACAAGAAATACATACTGTATCTGCAAAAATAGTCACGGATCCGCCTCTTTCCGGGCTGAACGAAGCCACAGCGAATAGCGGCTCACTGGGATGCCAGCTGCTGATGGTGCTCACCGCATCCGAGTCCAGAAACTCGATTTTCGTATCGAAATATAGTGTCATTCTGCCGGACTCACTTTAAGTGCAACTGAAAATTTTTCGGCAAAAGCCAAAACAAAAGAAACTATTAGTCCCGTTAGCAACGGTTACCATAGTTTCCAAAAGTAACGGTCGTCTTTTGAATATAGGGTGCTTCGGACTCTTTAGATTTACAACTGTTGCACCTCTCACCTGCGTTTTCTATTTATTTATTTCTTTTTATTCCCTTGCGGGGTATTTATTCCTCTATATAATCTCACTCTTTTATATGTCGGAACGGGCCAGATCGGACGACTATATCATATCTGTCATAGGAACGAGCGAAAAATATTTAAGAAAAAATTTTAACTTTTAAAGATTTTAACATATTTTTATCTTAGTTAATTCAAAGCTGTTTTATTATTATAGAATTTTGTTTTTAGTTTTATGAAAATCGGAACTGTAGAATATACCTGCCAGAGAAACGGTAGTTAAATGTAGAGAATCAGTAAGTATCTTTCAACAGTAAGTAACTCTGATCAGTAAGTACCAATGAAAATTAAGAAACTCTGAATAGTAAGTATCTATGACCAGTAAGTACATATGTATGATCAGTAATTCAGTAATTATCAGTAAGTAACTATGAACATTAAGTATCTATTAACACTAAGTAAGTCTGAACAGTAAGTAAATATGATTAGTAATTAACTTTTTTTATTAAGTAACTATGATCAGTAAGTATCTATGACCAGTAAGTATGTATGATCAGTTTAGTAACTGAACACTAATAAACAATGACTTGCAACTTTTGAAACACAACACATTTCTAATACTTGGCTGGCAGAAGTCACTTCGTTCCGGGGATGTAAGAACCAGTTGTGAATCATATGCACCAGTGTGAGAGATTTGTTTTTAAACAAATTGTAGAGCAAGCTATTTAAATACAACTATGAAGATATTCTTCTATATAATTTCACTAGTATATTAATCGGAGCATGGCGAATCGGTGGACAATATATATACATATATATAACTGCGATAAGAACGATCGGACGATCAGTAATTAACTATGATCAGTAAGTAACTATGAACATTAAGTATCTATGAACATTAATTAACTCTGAACAGTAAGTAACTCTAATCAGTAGTTAACAATTCTTATTAAGTAACTATTATCAGTAAATATCTATGACAAGTAAGAAAGTATGATCAGTTACTAACTTTGAACACTAATAAACGATGACTTGCAACTTTTGTAACATAACACATTTCTAAAACTTGGCAGGCAGCAGTCACTTCGTTCCGGGGATGTTAGAACTAGTTGGGAATCATATGCACAGATGTGCGACATTTGTTTTGGAACAAATTTAAGAGCGAGCTATTAGATGAAACTGTGGAGTTATTCTTCTACATAATTTTACTAGTCTATAAGTCGGAGCATGGCGAATTGGTGGACTATATATACATACATATATGTAGCTGACATAGCAAAAATCTGACGATTTATAGAAATATGATCAGAAATTAACTATGACTAGTAATTAACTATGATCGGTAAGTTTCAATGAACATTAAGTAACTCTGAACAGTAAGTATCTATGACCAGTAAGTAACTATGATCAGTAAGTATCTATGACCATACAAAAGATCGTTCTCTGTTTACAATTCATCTTTAATTTCTTGATTTGTTTAAAGCAAACTTCACTTTAAATATTCCCACATAAACAGCCTCTTAAATCTCAAGGTCATCATGTACCCCAAAGGAGTTAAATGATTTGTTACTTACACTCTCTCTGCAGGCTTGGTGGAGTACAAGAAACAAGGCTACGGAGTTGGCATCTGTTTTTGAGGGATTTTATTTAGTAGTTATTGTGATAGAAAACTTTGATTTAAAACTTTAGAAACTTATAGTTTCAAGAAGAAGAACAAAAATAATTGTGTTTGCTACGGTGCTTAAGTACACTGGTTGAGAAGCGCAGAGGAGGGCACTTTTTTGAGAGATAGTGAATGCGAGGGAAGTATTATTTTTTAAGAGAGAGTAAAACAAAAATTTTTTTTTTTGAGAAGCGTAGGGAAGGTCTCATTGTTTATTTTGGAATAATGAGAATTTGAGTTGGTAAAAAATATGTGATAAATCCGTAAAATTAATCAAAAATATAACATACTGACCCTTGGTTTTTCTTTTTTTTTTTAAATATCTATAACCAGTAATTAACTCTGAACACTAAGTATCTATGAGCATTAAGTAACTATAGTCAGTAAATATCTATGACCAGTAATTAACTATGAGCAGTAAGTAACTCTGAACACTAAGTATCTTTGACCAGTAAGTAACTACGATCAATAAGTATCTATAACCAGTAAGTATGTATGATCAGTTACAAACTTTGAACACTAATAAACTATTAGAACTTGTTGGGAATCACACGCACAGATGTGCGAGACTTGTTTTGGAACAAGTTTAAGCTATTTTACTGAAACTATGGAGTTTATCTTCTATATAATTTTAATAGTATATAAGTCGAGGCATGGCGAATCGGTGGAGTACATATATACGTATATATAGCTGCCATAGAATTGATCGGACGATTTATAGAACTATGATCAGTAAGTAACTCTGAACATTAAGTACTTAACATATGAACATTAAGTAACTCTGAATAGTAAGTAAGTATGATTAATTATGATAATTATGATATGATAATTAACTATTCTTATTAAGTAACTATGATCAGTAAGTATCTATGACCAGCAAGTACAAAGTACAAGTGCAAAACGGCGAATGTAAAACTGGCTAAATCGATAAAGCTTTTGATGCTGATCAAGAATATATGTATGTGATTTATAGGTCGTAAATGACTCCTTCACAAATTCACAAGCTTCTGACTAAAATTAGAATACCTTGCAAGGGTATACAAAGGGGATCTCTTTAGAATGTAAAAAACTTAAATATTTTCGACAGTTAACGGGTATTGTCCATCCCTGGCCAACCAACCGGGTGTTTCGTGCTCTTTTAAGTAATATTTGAAAGATGAGTAATACATTCATAGTTTCTGAAAGAATTGTATTTTACAACAATTAGTGCTTCATTACGTCATACTGGGATTTATTGATTATAGTTTAATGCCTCATTTATCAATGCATGTGACTATCAAGCACACACAGACACAAAGGATTATATAGTGCTGTACAACCTTATATCTTAAAAGATAGGTCTTTCAAAATATAAAATCAAGAAATGAAAAACTTAGATGATGGAATCAATTGCATAAGACATAATTTTCGATACTTAATAATAATTTGTAATACCTTAAAAAATTATACTTAATTGTGCATTGAATAAACCTTAAGAAATTTGAATGTAAGACTTTTAATATACTTTCATATATTGTTGTTAGAAAGTAGCTTATTTTCATTTAATCATAGAGGGGGAATATTATGTGTCGTATTTTTCAGACTGCAATATATTCTACGGTAATATTTTTGTATAAATATATATTGCTCCTAGCTTGTAAATAGCCGATTGGCCATATTCAGTACTTACCCACACACTAGCAGCCATGAAGTATGCGGCTTGCGTATACGCAATACTTGTGCACACAGATGAAATCACCGGCAAACAAAACAATATAGAATACTGGAACTCAGCGTAGCCGATATTGCGACTCATTTGCAGTACGAACTCCTCCGAAGCAACAACCAAAAATGGCCGATCGTCCGTGTGCTGGCAACGCTCTCCGCATCGCCGGAGCCGTCATCCTGCCCAACCTGGGCGGCATCTACAATGGGCGGCTGACCAGGAAGCACATCCAGAACTGGTACGCGCACCTCAAGTTCCCCTCGTTCAAGCCACCCAATTGGGTGTTTGCACCCATGTGGACATCCCTGTACGCCGGCATGGGCTACGGCTCGTATCTGGTGTGGCGGGATGGCGGAGGATTTTCGGGGGATGCCCAACTTCCGTTGATTGCCTATGGCACGCAGCTGGCTTTGAACTGGGCCTGGTCACCGATCTTCTTCGGGCAGCACAACATCAAGGGCGTGAGTACTTGTCTTCGTTATCACTGGTTAGGGTATAATGTGTTTCTAATCCCCTTCTTCCTTCCTTAGGGGCTCATTGACATTGTCGCCCTGACGGCCGCCGCCGGAGCTTGCGGAGTTCTCTTCTATCGTGTGAACAAGGTCGCCGGTTTGCTCTTTGTCCCCTACGTCGCCTGGCTGGGATTTGCCACTGCCCTCAACTATGCCATCTGGAAGCTGAACCCGGAGAAGAAGGAACCTGCGGTGTTGGAGGAGGAGAAGCCCTCAAGTAGCCATGCAGGCAAAGCGAATTAAGCTGGAAAGTTTTAAACATTTTAAATTGTATATGTATTAAGTGTTTTTGTGCATTCTAAATGTAGTTAATGGAAAAAGCTATGTAGTACCAGGGATGGTCAATAGTTGGATATATGTATATCGATAAATGATCCAGAAAAAGAGCTTTATTAACGAGCGCGCTCAATTTGAAAACATATTGTACAAATAAAAGTTACTTAAAAAAATTATTCCTTTTGGTTTGATTTTTGTACCCGCAAATACTTCGTTTTTCTTTAATATTTCTTTGAAAATATAAAGTATAAAATGTTTGTTGAGTTAAGTAATTTTACCCAAAAACTATGTCTCTCCCCTGAACACTTTGCATTTTCCCTAAAAAAAATAATAATTATATCTGAACAAGAATGGAAATTCTTCGGAATACCGAAGTTTATATACCTTTGCAGTGTGCAATTGAATTATAGAAACGGAAATCGATCATAACAGGCTTAAAATATTCGGATTCTTCAAATCGATATTTGTAGATATTTTTATATGACAATTTTTTTTAAATCAAAATTTAAAAACCTCATAACGACCCCAAAAAATCATTAATTTGAATTAGGAAAGCTTTTCTATGCTAGTTTTTAAAAGGTTAACATAAATCTGCATTCTAAATTAAAAAAAATCAACATATTTGACAATTTTAACTATGTAACACCTCAATTGAAAAATTTGGAAAAAAAAAATAAATTTTGGCCGGACATAGTTAGTTTGATTCAGCTGTTGATCCTGATCAAGAATATATATGATTTGTAGGGTCGGAAGTGACTTCTTCACGGCGTTACAAGCTTCTGACTAAAACTTTAATTCCTGCAAGGGTATAAAAATCACAATCTTGATAGTTGTTGTGTTTCAAGGGGCAGTCCAAGAATACCTTATAATTGTATACATCAGAATAAATTTCTGAATAGATTAAATAAGATAAAATGTTTTAAAATTTCAAATTTTATTTAAAAGTCGGCCACAAAATTATCAAAAAGTTGGTTAGTAGTCAGAAAAATAAAAAGGTAGCTGAAAAAACCGAAAAACTGAGTTCGAAAATGCGTGGTAAGTTCAAAATGCAAGGTTTGCCGATCTAAAGATTGAATCTAGTTGGGTTAATTGGCACCACCTGGAGCCTGAGGAGAGGCTGCAGCGGGAGAGGGATTTGGATTTGGATTGGGCGGTGTTCCGGTCTTGGGGGAGTTTGCTTTCGGCGAGGCGGCAGCCTTGGGCGAGGGCGTGCCCTTGGGTGAGTTTGTCGCCGGCTTCTGCTGTGGTCCTCCTGTCTGCTTTGGTGGCGATGCCTTGTTGTTGGACTGCTTGGCCTGCTGTTGCTGCTGCTGAGGATTCGGCTGATTAGCTGTCTTTGGTGGCGAGGGCTTCCCTGCGGCCTGGGCCGGCTTTGGAGCCACTGCAGGCTTAGCATTGGCATTGGGGTTTGTTTGCTTCTGCTGCGGTTGCTGCTGGGGCTTGTTTCCACCTCCTCCTCCTGGTGGTTGCTTCTGTGCCTGCTGTGGCTTTTGCTGCTGCTTGGATTTCTGTCCTCCAGGTGCCTCTTGCTTCTTCTGAGGCGCCTGCTTCTGTGGTTGAGGAGTAGTTGCTGCCGTTGGCGATGGTGGAGTCACGGCAGCAGCTGGCGATGGCGGGGTCACAGCGGCCGCAGATGGTGGAGCCGAGGTGGGAGTTGAGGGTGGCGTTAAAGGAGCCACTGGGGAGGGAGCCACTGGTGAAGGAGCCTCTGCTGTGGGAGTTGCAGCTGCCGCTGGAGTCGTAGCAGGTGGTGTCACTTGCTTGTTGATCGCCTGCGTCTCCTTGGGAGTGGGAGCAGGAGCAGGTGCAGGTGCTGCCACTGGTTTTGGAGTCTCTGCTGGCTTTTCAGGAGCAGCTGCAACTGGCTCTTGAGCCTTGGCTGGCTGAGTGTTGGCTATCTCAGGAGCTGGGGCCTTGACGGCTTCGAGAGCTGGCGCTTTAGGAGTTTCAGGAGTTGGAGCTTTGACAACTTCAGGAGCTGGGGCCTTGGTAGCGTCTGGAGCTGGAGCTTTAGCAACCTCGGTCACTGGCGCCTTGGCTGCTTCTACGGGTGGCGTCGTCGGTTGCTTGGCCGGTGGTGGAGTCTTTTGTTTTTGTTTCTCCGAAGTATTCTGGGGAGGAGTTCCCTGTTTTGGTTTCTCCGCTACATTCTTGGGAGGAGAGGCTTGCTTTGGCTTTTCCTGAGCACTCTTGGGAGCCACCTCTGCTGGTGGAGCACTCTTGGGAGGTGATTCTTGCTTGGGAGCACTCTTTGGCTGCACTTCTGAAGGAGCAACACTCTTGGTAGACTCTGCTGTAATAGTTGTAGCTGCAGTAGGAGCAATTGTGGGCTCTATTTTAGCTGGCGGAGTAACAGGGGGTGACACTTTTTTCGGTTCCTCACTTTTCGGAGCAGGAGTTGCTTCTGCAGCTGGTTTCTCTGCCTGTTTGGGTGGCTCCGAGGCGACAATCTGGGCCAGGGTCTGGACACCGGGAGCGCCCCAAGCCTTGGGTGGTTCGGGTTTGGGCTCACCTGCTGCTTTGACCTCAACCTTTGGTTGTTCTGGTTGGGTCTTGACTTCAGGGACTTTCTGTTGAGAGTTTTGTTCAATTTTAGGAGCAGCTGGCTTAGGTTGTGGCTCAGCCATCTTGGCTTCGTTGGCCTTCGGCTGAGGTGTCTTCTGCTCGGTTGGCTTGGGTTTCTCCAGCTTTTGTTCCTTCTGCTGGTCAGTGGGTTTTGGTGAGTCCTTCTTCTGATCTTGCTTAGCTTGTGGAGGAGCTGCTGCTGCTTGAACAGGCTTCTCCTTGTCAGCTTGAGGAGCCGGTGGCTGAGCCTTGGATTGATCCTTAACTTGTTCTTTGCTCTTATTCTGCTTATCCTTGTTTCCCTGCGGCTGCTGCTGCTGTTCCTTTTTCTTGCCTTCCTGGGCCTGAGCCTTCTTATTGTCCTTGGGCTTGGCTGTCTCCTGAGGTTTCTGTTGCTGTGGTTTTGGCTCCTGCTTCTTGTGCTGCTCCTTCTTGAGCGGCTGCTCCTGCTTAGTGGAAGCCTCCACCTTGGCAACCTCATCGAAGTCCCCAACAAGCAACGGAACATCATCGTCCTCCTCAGTTCCAGTGGGTACGGCTGCTCCTTCTCCGCCTGCCGCCCCCTTTTGCTGGTTCATGGAATTGGCGTACATCCGGAGTTGGACCACGGTTTCCTGGCCCAATTGTGGCAGAATATCCGGCAGCATTTCCACCACCTTCCTCGTCTCACCGTGCCCGGTGACGGCAAATGTATTGGCCGACAGAGAGGCCTGGGCTTTCGGGTTGTTAAAGTGAATCACGGTCAGGTCATCCTTGATAATGTTGACCTCCTCGATGCCGGGTATAGTGCTAACCGATAGCTTCTTGAGCGAGCTCTGAAGCTTCTTATCATCGGTGGCTGCGGTCTGGTGCATGACCTTCTTCTTGCGGCGGGGCGTGCCCTTGCCACCTATGCGAACCTGCGCCTGCAGGCGCTTCAGTTTCTCCACATTCATGGCGTGATCTTAAATGTATAGTAAATATTGAATATATATTACATAAAAATTGCGACTAATTCCACCTTAGAGACGGCGACACGATGTGCAACTCCACGGGCGAAATAACGACGAATGCAGCGGATCCTCGAGCAGAACCAAACCCGAAATCCAACGCAGCGAGCGACAGCGCTGCTTTTATTAATATATTCGTTCGGCCTGCTCTTTTTTTCGCATTTTCGCACATTCTTTTTGTTTTTCTTTTTTTTTTGCAGAGAGGAAAGCAAGAAAAATGTCGCCCCAGTGCTTAAAAATAGCTCCACATTTCCTCTACACACTGGCCGAGGCGATGCTTTGCTTTAGTTTGTTCAGTTAGTTGAGGCGACGGTGCCTTCTCTCGGCGTGTGGCTGCCTGCCTGGCCAAGCGGCTGTTGAACTTCCCTCTCGGGAAGCTAGGGGATGGGGATTGGGATGGCATGGGATGGCGCCCCAAAATAGATGGCGAACTTTTCTCACTTGCAGCAGAAATACTACATTTACTTTTGATAAGAGAGAAATGTTGTGGCGAGAACACATTTTAAATTGTTGAATAAGAACAATTAATCTCACCTATAACTAAGAGAATCATTTTTTTTGAGTAGATCAAACTGCAGTCAAACGATTTGATCTTAAACCCTAAGCAAACAGATTCGGGAAGTTGCCACTGCCCTTTTATAAACTTTTTAAGTTAGTTTCAAAATTTGTTCATGTTTTTAAGGCGTAACCTAAGATAACTGCATTGAAAAATATCTTGAAGTTTTGCTAAGGGCGAGACACCCTTAAACCTGGTTCCTAAAATCGATATTGAATTAAGGATAGTTTTGGTATTCAATAAATCAATACCCTGCATACATATATCAGATTTCAAAATTATTAAAACGTAGAAAAAAATCTAATTCAATAACTTTTGTCAAAGCTTTTACTTAGAAAGATAAATGAAAATGATACAAAAAAAAAAACCATACCGTCTTTAACCTATTCACCATACTCTATGGAATATATTTTCAAACATAAATACCTTGCAATCAATAATAAAACTCTAAGCTCTTTCAAGAATCCCATTTAAATCTTGCTGGCACTTGGTTGATCGCTGGCTATTTGGTTGCAAAACTGCGAAAGCTTGCTCACATTAAAGGAGGAGCACACTTCTTTGGTTATTTCTTGCATTTGAATTTCCTTTTGGATGACATCCTCCATTGCTGCAAACTTGGTCTCCTCGGCATCCAGTTGAGCCAGCATAGCCATGTTCTGAAAAATGATATAAGTATTAGGAAAGAGCAGAAACATATTCAAACACAGGAATGGCTTAAACTCGATTTTTGAAACTCAAATATCGCAGATTTTCATAAAGTTTGATATTTAAAATTGTATTTTAAGTAGTTTCTCTATATATAGTTTCAAAAATGGTATCGATGTTAGAATCAGCTTTCTGTAGTAATATCACAACAACCTTGATATATTTCTGCATTCCTGCAAGATCTCGACTGGCGAATAATTAAGTCCGTAACATCCATTTTAAGGCCTGAAAAATTCCTTTACCCTGTTACCTCTCAAACTTCTTCCCTTACCTCTCGAAATCGCGCCTTCATTTCCTCAAGCTGGGCCGTCTTCTGCTCTTCATTCTCGCTTGAGAACTTACTCTCCAAATGCAAATCCTGTGCCAAGAGCACATTCGGCGGAACGCGAAACACCTTCTTGTCCAGATCCACCAGAGCCTTCAGGCCCCGCTGGCAGGATTCCAGAACCTGGTCCACCACTTCCTTCTTCTGAGCCTCCAACAAAGCCGATGTGGCCGGGGTCTCGATCTTTTTGATGGCCATTCCAAGGGCTTTCGTTATGATGAAACGCACTAGGTGTTTGTCTTGAAAAAAAAATAAAATAAACGACGCTGCAACTTCTTCTCTGAAAACCAAAGTTTGGGCTATCTCAGACTTACGTTCCACTCCTATCTGTTCGGCGGTGAAGTTGAACAATCGCAGATCTTGGGCCCTTTGAAGGAAGTCCATTGGGAATGTTTAAAGCCAAATTTTAATAATAATATGCAAATTTTGCGAAAATAAGTGTAAACGAAAAAACGCGCAATTTCGATTAAGTGTGACCGAATTGCAAAAACCATTAAAAGTTACGCTCACGACACTCATAGGGCTGCCAACCTGTGGAATAAATCTTGTGCTGGCAAATATCAATTCTCAGCTCAAAAGACAAAAAATAACGTTTTCAGATCCTTTAACATAGAAATAAAAAACTATAAAGTCCATCTTAAAAACTTCCTACTACTACTTCTTCTGAGAAATCTTATTCGATATGTCGATATCTGTGGTCGAGTTGGCAGTACCGCCTGTCTCGATCAGCAGGCGGCGACTCGCGTGCGTTTTGTTTTGATTTTGTTTACAATGCTGCTGCGGCGAAATCTTATTTTTCCCGCCGTGCGGTTGGTGCACAGGAGTCTCCATCGACACCAGAATGGCCACATAGTGCTCCACCCGGAAGTGCGGCAGGCTCTGCAGCTCCATAAGCCGGTGGTAGCGCTGGAGTCCACGATTATTACGCATGGAATGCCGATGCCGGAGAATGTGACGACGGCCCTGGCGGTGGAGGAGCAGGTGCGCTGTCATGGAGCCATTCCCGCCACCATTGGTATTCTGGACGGACGCATCAAGGTGGGTCTAACCCGCGAAGAACTCACCACATTGGCCGAGAAGCCGCGGGATCAGGTCATCAAGTGCTCGCGGAGGGATCTCCCCTTCGTAGTGGCCAGGAAACAGAGTGGCGGCACCACTGTGGCAGCCACCATGATCATTGCCCACCAGGTGGGCATCAAAGTGTTCGCCACGGGAGGAATCGGTGGTGTCCATCGCGATGGTCAGGAGTCATTGGATGTTTCCGCCGATCTCACCGAACTGGGACGCACTCCAGTGGCTGTGGTTTGCAGTGGTGTCAAGTCGATCTTGGATATACCACGCACTCTTGAATATCTGGAGACGCAGGGCGTATGCGTGGCCAGCTACATGAGTTCTGGCGGGATATTTCCGGATTTTTACACCCGCGACAGTGGCTGCACGGTGCCCTATGATCTCGGTAGTGCCCAGGAGGCGGCGAAGTTACTTCAATCCTGGCAGGAGCTCCAAATGCAATCGGGCGTGCTCATCGGTGTGCCCATTCCCGAGGAGTTTGCTGCAGATAAAGCCAAGATCGAGGCGGCCATTCAAGAGGCAACGGCGCAGGCCAAAGCCCAGGGTGTGTCCGGGAAGGAAGTGACTCCCTTCCTGCTCGCCGCCATAGCAAAGATTACAAGGGGAAGCAGCCTCAAGTCCAACATCGCTCTTATCAAGAACAACGCAAAGGTGGCGGCGCAAATAGCCGCTTCGCTCAGTGAAATCTCATCGAGAAGTGGTGCAGCCTCCGCTTCTGGCATTGGAAAGAAACCGCTGGTTGTAGGGGCATCCATTCTGGATCTCTCCTTCACCGTGGATGACCAAAAGCGAGATGTGAAGCTAGACGGAGCCACCTACTCGGCGGTGGCTAAGCAGGCCGCCGGGGGCGTGGGTCGGAACATTGCCGAAGGAATATACAAGCTCTACGGCGATGTGAACCTCATTTCGGCCGTTGGCAACGACCAAATGGGTCATACCTTGCTGCAGATGATGCCAAAGGCCCTGAAACGGGGCATAATCCTCGAGAGCAATCAAAATACCTCCCTCTGCTCGCTGATCTTTGATAAATACGGTGATTGCAAACTTATCCTCGGGAATATGGAGATTCATCAGAGCATTACACCCGAGACTCTGCAGGCCCACCATCAGTTCTTCGCTGAGGCTCCCATCATCGTAATGGACAGCAACATTTCGGAGGATGCGATGGCAAGCATCCTGCAGCAGGCGCAGAAAAACAAGATACCCGTCTTCTTCGAGCCTACGGATATGTTTATAGCGGGCAAGCCTTTCCAGCTGGTCCCAGAGCTAACCAAGAACATACGCCTGATCAAACCCAACCTTCAGGAACTCAAGACCATCACAGAAGCTATTACAGGTCAACCTGTAGACTTGGAACTTAGCACCAAGCTCCCGCAGGAGAAACTGCTTCAGCAGGCCAAATTTATGATCAAACAGATCGATTCCCATTTCAACTGCATCATTGCCACTCTTGGCGACCACGGTGTGCTCCTTAGTTATCGCCAGGATGCCGAGGAGGATGCCACAATGCTCTTAGACGTCAGTAAATCTGCCGTACCACACCGTATCCGCTTCTATGCTGCCCCTCTGGTCAACAATATTGTCAATGTCTCTGGTGCTGGCGACAGTTTTTGTGCGGGATTCATTACGGCTCTACTGCAGCAAGGACGTATCCTAAGCGAGTGCGTGGCCGCTGGCTTTGTGGCCGCTGAGAAAGCCCTTCAATCGGAGTCCGCAGTGCCGCAGTCCTACTTCTCCCATTCGGAGACCTTTGAGGGTCGTTACAAGCAAAAGGTGAAAAGCCTCCAGCAGCAGAGCATTTAGAAGGTATAGAAGATGGGATCAGTTACTCAGGATCACTTGAGATCACTTAGGATCTTTGCTTTATTTCCTCAAGTAGTTACTTACAAAAGAGCCTGTACAATATGTAGACGTCTAGTAGGCCCATCTGGAAGATGCATTAAAGGCGGATTGTTAAGAAATAAAAATAAATACTTTTGTAATAAACCTACATTTTGTTCGTTTAAGAATAATATATAGAAAATTATAAATACCATATAATGGTACAACTAGTTTATGCCAATAAAGCCCGCCAACAAATTTACAAAATTTGTCATCTAATTGCTGATTTTTACTTTGATTTGTTTTAAATAGAGCTCGTAAGTTTGATTCTTGTTTCAATCTAGTTCGGCCTTATCACTATTCATAATACTCACAGCTTAATGACTTTGTCCTTGCCTCCAGAGGCCACCCGAGAACCGTCGGGCGCCCAGTCCACGCCAAACACCTCATCCGCATGGCCAGGCAGCTCCTGGGCCAGTTTTTTAGTCTGAACACTCCAAACTGTAGCAAGAAAAACCTTATTAAAGAGCAGCCAAATATGCTGTAAGTTGATGGAGACCTACCCTTCAATGTGGAATCTTTGCTGCCGGAAACGATCAACCGTGAATCCGCTGACCAGGCCAGAGTGTAAACAGCCTGCACATGACCCCGGAAGGTGGCCATGTACTGGCCATCGTGAGCACGCCACAGACGCACCGACTTGTCGAAGGAAGCGGAGGCAATGAGCTTCACATCCGGCGAATATTTGACATCATTGACCACATTCTGGTGGCCTGTCATGCGCTCTACGCACTTGTTTTGGTTGTTGCGCCACAGATAGAGGGTGTTGTCATCCGAGCAGGAGACCAGGGACTCTACCTCATCGGGACAGACAGCCTGGTAGCGCTTTAAGGCAGATTCCTGCAGCTCTTCGCCTGTGATAGATTGATTTTAATAAAGATTATTGGTAAGGAACAATTAGGGATACTCACTGGTCTGGCTAAGGTTACTCTTGGAGCGATCTTTGACCGGATGGAAGGGACCTGTGCGCAGCACGTAATCCGTACTCAAGGCAATGTTATTCACCCAGTGAGCATGGCCAGAGAACGTCCGGCACAGGATGCCATCGGCAGCACGCCACATCTTCACGGTGCGATCCTTGGAGGAGGTGTAAATGAGACCAGCGCCGCCCCATCTCACCGCTGTCACCGCATTCGTGTGGCCGGCAATGTTCATCAGGCACTGGCCCAGTTTCACATCCCATATCCTGCAGTCACCGTCCCCGCTGGCGGATGCCAGTCGCCGACACTCGGGGTCCCGGTGATATGGCTCCCAGGCGAGGCCGTTGATGTGCTTCTTGTGTCCACTTAGCGGCCGGCCCTTCTGTTGGCCCGTCTCCGGATCCCAGATAATTATAGAGCCCGCCTTGCATCCACTGGCCAATCGTTTGCCATCCGGAGCCCAGGAAACGCACAATACCCACTGCTTGTGTCCGGTGCAGGTGAAGTGAGGCGTTTCTGTGTTGAGATCCCACAGACGCACTGTCGTATCACCACTCCCGCTGGCCAGGTGTGCCCCATCAGGGCTAAAATTGAGGGAAACCACTGCCTCGGCATGTCCCGGCATAGAACTCGTGCACCTCGTCACAGGGCGAACCTTGAAAACAGCCTGTGGCTGGTAAACGATGTCGATGACATTCTCTGTATCTACGGTGGCCAGGTCCAGGGTTTCTTCCAGGCTCTTCTTGATCTCATCCTCGCCCACGAAGAACAGATATGGCGTGGTCTCCTCATTCTTCAGCAGAGCATTGCAAATGAGACCCAGTTGTTGGGTTGTTATCCCAGCAGGCAGGTCAATGGGCGGTCCTGCCTCCTCGCCCGTGTCCGATATAAGGCGCGCCTGTATTGTGTGCGGCGTGGCCTGAGCTGGCTCGGCGGCGGAGTCTGATTCCGCCTGCATCTTCTGTTTTTTGGCCAACATTTTGAGTAAAGCCTTAGAGAAAAGAACAAAACAAAAATAAACACGTGCCGCGAGTTGTCAGTGTGACCAGATAGGAGCAAAGAAGGCGATAAGTCTTTAGCCGATAGATTTGGCAGGGGGCTAGAATATAGCCAAATGTAGCTATTTTCCATAATTAAACTCAATTAAATATTTATTTTAACAAGAAGGAAGCCTACTTCAGCACGCCGAAGTTTATATACCCTTACAGAAAGAACTTTGATGACCAGGAATTAATACAACATAAATTATACTTATTTAATAAAAACAATGAAGTAATGCCTGCTTTCATTTATCATATATTTATAATTTTTTTGTAAACATTTTCAGATCCTTCCTATGGTAGCTATATGATATAGTCGTCCGATCCGGCCCGACGGCAGACGGACAGAAGGACAGACGGACATGGTTATATCGACTCTGCTGTTGATGCTGATCAAGAATATATATACTTTATATGGTCGAAGATGATTCTTTCAATGTGTTGCAAACTTCTAGCTGAAATTATAATACTCTGCAAGGGTATAAAAATATGTGTATCTGGCTTACTTAATTTTATTATGATTGAACGAATTTAAACATTGTGTTATTGAAAATATAATATATATAATAAATAAATAACTCAGCACTATCCGTATCGATATATCGATATTATCGCATCAAACGGCTCATCTCTAACCCAAAGAATTTTCATGTACGCGTCTTGGTGAAATTTATTTAAAAAATGGAAAATATTCCCCGAACGCATGAAGGTGAGTGAAATAAATGCAACCAAGAGCTACCTACCAAGGCAGGGAACATCGGGATCCAAAAATTCAGCACTGGAAGCATATAATTATCCCATTTCCAAGTACCCGGTTTGCCTGAAAATCAATTAACTTTGAGCGATTTTTCTTCTCCCCCACACAGACATCGAGGCACAGATCAGCGTGATCCAGGAAAAGAAGACGGAACTGGCCAAAAGCACGGCGGCGGCAGCTGGCGTCGGTTTGCTGGACAGTGGTGGTTTCTTCGACACCGATCTGTACGACGACGATGCCAACAAGGGGAAGGGCCGCTACGAGGGCTACAACACCTCCATAGCGGCGAACGATGCGGAGGAGGTGGACGAGGACGAGGACGATGGCTTTCCCGTTCCCCAGAAGCGCACCACGTATACGGCGCCCACTTCTGTACTGAAAGACGTCACCCAAGGGAAGGAGGATGTCGATCCCATGGCCGATCGGCGCCGTCCCACGATTGCGGATCGTGAGGATGAGTACAGACAGAAGCGGCGTCGTATCATCATCTCACCGGAGCGAGCGGATCCCTTTGCCGAAGGCGGCAAAACGCCGGATGTGGGCTCCCGCACCTACACGGACATTATGCGGGAGCAGATGCTGAAGGGCGAGGAGACGGAGCTGAGGCGCAAGATCCTAGAGAAGACGAAGGATGGCACGCTGGTCAAATCTTCCTCGTCGTCGTCTTCGGCAAATGGGGAGTCCTCGGCCCCCAAGGAAGGAGCCCGGAAGCGAGGAAGATGGGATCAGACAGTCAGCGACAGTTTTGTGCCTGCCAAGGTGGCGGCTACGCCGAGCAGCGCTGCCACTCCCACCTGGGAGGATGTAAGTATAATCAAGTTTCGTTTTCCTTTAAATTGTTCAATTTAATTATATTTTGTCCTTCAGAAAACTCCTGGAGACCATCGCTGGGATGAGACGCCGGGCCACAAGGGCAGTGAGACTCCTGGTGCAACCCCCGGCCTGGGCACACGCATCTGGGATGCTACTCCTGCGCATGCCATGACACCGGGTCATGAGACACCGGGCCATGAGAAGTCGGCCCGCAGGAATCGGTGGGATGAGACACCAAAAACAGAGCGTGAAACCCCAGGACACAGTGGATGGGCCGAGACACCAAAGCCCGACCGGACAGGCAGTGGAGCTGGCGGCGAGAGCATCTCCATAGAGTCTACACCAGGAGCCTCGAAACGTCGTTCGCGCTGGGATGAAACACCCTCGAATGCCACGCCCGCTATAACGCCGACAAACGCCAATGCCATGACACCGAGCATGACTCCCAGCATGACGCCGCATGCCACACCAGGTCATGCCACTCCTCTGATGACGCCCGGAGGAAGCACTCCCGTCGGAGTCAAGGCAATGGCCATGGCTACGCCCACGCCTGGTGCACTGGCTGCCATGACGCCGGAGCAGCTGCAGGCCTATCGCTGGGAGAAGGAAATCGATGAGAGAAACAGGCCTTACACTGATGAAGAACTGGATCAAGTGTTCCCGCCGGGCTACAAAATTCTACCACCTCCCGCAGGGTACGTACCCCTCCGGACGCCCGGCCGTAAGCTTATGGCGACGCCCACTCCCATAGCTGGGACTCCCGCAGGCTTCTTCATCCAAGTGGAGGACAAGAATGCCAAGTTTATGGATAATCAGCCAAAGGGACAGAATCTGCCCTTCATGAAGCCGGAGGATGCACAATATTTTGATAAACTTCTAGTGGATGTTAACGAGGATACCCTGTCACCGGAGGAGCTAAAGGAGCGCAAAATCATGAAGCTTTTGCTGACCATCAAGAATGGTTCGCCGCCGATGAGGAAGTCTGCCCTTCGACAGATCACGGACAAGGCCAGAGAGTTTGGTGCAGGACCGCTTTTCAATCAAATCCTACCCTTGCTCATGTCGCCGACATTGGAGGATCAGGAGCGTCATTTGCTGGTCAAGGTGATTGATAGGGTTCTCTACAAGCTGGATGATCTAGTACGTCCCTATGTGCACAAGATATTGGTGGTGATAGAACCTCTCCTGATCGACGAAGATCACTATGCTCGTATCGAAGGAAGAGAGATCATTTCCAACCTGGCCAAGGCTGCGGGCCTGGCCACTATGATCTCCACAATGCGACCGGATATAGACAACATTGATGAGTACGTGAGAAACACCACAGCCAGAGCCTTTGCCGTAGTGGCCTCCGCTTTGGGTATACCCTCGCTGTTACCTTTTCTGAAGGCGGTGTGCAAATCCAAGAAGTCCTGGCAGGCGCGGCACACAGGCATCAAGATTGTCCAGCAAATAGCTATTCTCATGGGCTGCGCCATCCTGCCCCATCTCAAAGCCCTCGTGGAAATCATCGAGCATGGCCTGGTGGATGAGCAGCAGAAGGTTCGTACCATTACGGCCCTGGCCATTGCTGCTCTGGCCGAGGCAGCCACTCCCTATGGCATTGAATCCTTCGATTCCGTACTGAAACCCCTGTGGAAGGGTATCCGAACGCATCGTGGCAAGGGTCTGGCCGCCTTCCTCAAAGCCATTGGTTACCTTATACCCCTCATGGACGCCGAGTATGCCAATTATTATACGCGTGAGGTGATGTTGATTCTGATCCGAGAGTTCCAATCGCCGGACGAGGAAATGAAGAAGATTGTCCTCAAGGTGGTAAAGCAATGTTGCGCTACCGATGGCGTGGAGCCGCAGTATATCAAGGAGGAGATCCTGCCACATTTCTTCAAGTTCTTTTGGAATCATCGCATGGCCCTGGACAGACGTAACTACCGACAGCTGGTAGACACAACCGTGGAGATAGCCAACAAGGTGGGAGCCTCCGAGATCATCAATCGTGTGGTGGACGACCTTAAGGACGAGAATGAACAGTACAGGAAAATGGTGATGGAAACCGTGGAGAAGATCATGGGTAATCTTGGAGCAGCGGATATTGATTCCCGATTGGAGGAGCAACTCATCGATGGCATACTGTATGCCTTCCAGGAACAGACCACCGAGGACGTGGTGATGCTGAATGGTTTCGGAACCATAGTAAACCAGTTGGGTAAGCGCGTGAAACCCTACCTCCCACAGATTTGCGGCACCATCCTCTGGAGATTGAACAACAAATCCGCCAAGGTGCGACAGCAGGCAGCGGATCTCATCTCAAGGATAGCGGTGGTGATGAAAACATGCCAGGAGGAGAAGCTAATGGGTCATCTTGGCGTCGTGCTCTACGAGTACTTGGGCGAGGAGTATCCCGAAGTGCTGGGCAGCATTCTGGGCGCCCTGAAAGCCATTGTCAACGTGATTGGCATGACTAAGATGACGCCGCCCATTAAGGACTTATTACCCCGACTGACACCCATTCTAAAGAATCGCCACGAGAAGGTGCAGGAGAACTGCATCGATTTGGTGGGCAGGATAGCAGATCGTGGACCGGAGTATGTGTCCGCACGCGAATGGATGCGCATCTGTTTCGAGCTGCTGGAGCTACTCAAGGCCCACAAGAAAGCCATTCGACGGGCAACAGTCAATACCTTCGGTTATATAGCCAAGGCTATAGGTCCCCACGATGTCCTGGCCACGCTGCTCAACAATCTAAAGGTGCAGGAGCGTCAGAATCGTGTGTGCACCACGGTGGCCATTGCCATTGTGGCGGAGACATGTCGCCCGTTTACCGTGCTCCCCGCTTTGATGAACGAATACCGAGTGCCCGAGCTGAACGTCCAGAATGGTGTCCTCAAATCGCTCTCCTTCCTCTTCGAATACATTGGCGAAATGGGCAAGGATTATATTTATGCCGTGTGTCCGCTCTTAGAGGACGCCCTCATGGATAGGGATCTGGTTCATAGACAGACAGCCTGCTCTGCCATCAAGCACATGTCGTTGGGTGTCTATGGCTTTGGCTGTGAGGACGCCCTGACGCATCTCCTCAACTACGTGTGGCCCAATATCTTTGAGACATCGCCCCATCTCGTCCAGGCCTTTATGGACTCCGTGGACGGTCTGAGGGTATCGCTGGGACCCATCAAGATTCTTCAGTACACACTGCAGGGCCTGTTCCATCCCGCGCGGAAGGTGCGAGATGTCTATTGGAAGATCTACAACTCGCTGTACATTGGCGGGCAGGATGCCCTGATTGCCGGCTATCCGCGTATCACCAATGATCCCAAGAACCAATACGAGCGGTACGAACTGGACTATGCGCTTTAAGTTTTAACCGAGTAGATTTATCTATATATAGGACACAAAATAAAAACAAAGTGTAGAAAATTAAATTAGATTTTTTTTGGGGGTTGGGAAAAGAATCTTAAGATGGGAGCCTGACCAAAAGGGTTCCTTAGTGTAAACAAGAAACTCTAAAGTAGTTCTCGAATTAGATTATGGAAACCCAAGTTTCTTAATCTATTTATCATCTTTTGCGTTTTCTTATCTGGCATTAATGTAGATTAGATAGAAGATTACTTATTGTAAATATTTATAGGTCTCCCGTAGTATTTACTTTAACAGATAGTGACAACTTTTGCAAGATATTGCTAGTATTAGATTTATATAGATAATAAATTAACCGGAAATTCACAACTATAAATCGTAACATTCTCTTTTTAAAATGATGATTTCTTTATATTTTTAACTTATTACTGAATTAATTTCCATTAAAATGCAATGACTTACAGCATTTAATCAATGACCTCATAATGTTCAAGATACTATACACTTGAGTTTCCATATACAAAAATCCGAGTACTAAAATACTGAATATTTATATATCACAATTTGAAATGCCTTCCAAATCTTTACTGTAAAGCTCAACTCCCATAAAACCCCAACTATATAATACAGATTGTACAAAACCGGGTTTATTCTACGTTTAGAGTCGCTTTGCTGCCTATACTGTGGACTTAATGGGTTAGACCACCCTGAAAATTATAAAAATCGTTTTTTGTATTTTAACATAATTTTGAGGCCGATATTACGGTCATTTTAAGGTATTGGGCTTAAAAATATCTCATTATTTGTGGATATTATAGTCATTTGAAGTAAGCCTTGCCGGTATACCTTAAAGTACTTTCTTTATCTTATTTTGCGTTTTTCTCAAAACTACGTTTTTTGGAACGGTGTACATGATTGCTTAAAAACTACTCGACCGATTCTCTTCAAATTTATTACACATGACATGATTGGATATGATTTCTTTTTTAAAAGTTGGGTGGTCTAACCCCTTAATCTTTTGGCTTACAATAATACAAAAGTGTGAGTGTCTCATTGCCATGAGATTGGAACTTCTTCCTGGTCTTCTTAAGCTGCCATCACCGATGGATTAATGCCTGGATCACCTCTATCAGGCTCTTCAGGCCGAACATGTAGTTCTCGTCGGGCAGAGCCTGTTCCGCCGGATAGACGTGAGCAAAGTCAATCATTCGGACACGCACCCAAGTCGAGGGGGAGGAGGGAGCATCGACCGCCTCCTGCTCGCCATGATGGCGGTGGCCATTGAGCGTTGGCTGGTTCTTTAACCTCGAATAATCGTAGCAGATGAGCAAGGAGCTGGCGTAGAAATGGTACACCCGTTGGCTGACGAACCACTTGAGGATGTCCTGCAGTTGACGGAGCACTTCCTGGAGTAACAACTCCCTGGCCGCTCTTCGCGCCTTGGAATGGCTTGTGCTGGCATTGAAGAATAGGGCCATGGTCTCCTTGAAACCCTCCACGCTCAGGCTCTTGCCATAATCCCTGCCCCGCCGCAGGATTGAGGCCTTCTCGGCGTCCTGATCCGCATCCACTGGAAGATACACCTGGAAGCCGGGCAGGCACAGTCCCAGAGCTTGCTTGCACTGCACGTACTTGCCCTCCTCCAATTGCCGCTTGTTGGGGGAGGCTGCCGGATCCCAGGTTCGTTTACCCACCTTCACGTCCATGACGCACGGCTGGAGCATATCTCGCGTGAGGTCTTCCAGGCGGAGGAACGTGCGTTCGCGGTGATTCACAACCAGTTTCAGGGGGCCGTAAAACCGGGGGACGTGACCGCGGAGCAGGGCAAGGTCATTATCACCCAAAGCACCTGCCGTGGCGAGTGATTCATAGAATCTCAGCTCTCGTTCTCCACACTCCGGCTTCCCGAGAGGCTTCAGCACACAGCCACCCGCGTAGTCTTGCAGGAGCCCGATGGCCTCGGCGTTGATGGACTCGAAATTGTGGCCGGCCACCTGTGTCTTCAACTGGCGGAATCCCTCGGGCAGCGTCGGCTTGTTCCTGGCCGGGGGTGGGGGCAACTCCTGGTCGACGACATCCTGCTCCTTCTTGGCCATCTGACCGGGGGATGCTTCTGCTCCTGGCAAGTGGAATTTTTGAGTGGAATCCGCGACTAGGGTTGTTGAAATTTTTATATCGTGATATTTTGTTGTTGCGATTTTTTATGTTGTTTTGAAAAACGTGCTGTTATTTAACATTTTACATCTTACACGTCTGGAACACCATTTTACACGTTTACAGAATTCGAATTCTCATTTGTGGGGTCGAATTCTCATACATGGGGCAAAATTCCCAAGTAGAATGTAAAAATCGTAACATTTCCTCTTTCTGCTCTCTCGCTGTCGGGTGGATGTTAATTAACAGAATTCTCTCTCGGGTGTCGGGTCGTTGAATATATGCCAATTTTCTCAATTTGTTGCTGGTCACTCTGGATTCCAAAGCAGTTATTAAACATTTTACACCTCGAGATAACATTTTACACGTTTACAGATACATGCAGAACTCTCATGTAGGAAGTAACAGATTATCTTAAGTTATTATCGATATTTTCTATCGTGATATATCAATGTTTTGAAAAACTTGCGCCACAGGTGTCAGCACCCCAACCAGTGTTGCAAAACACCACATTTTTAGGGTTGTAAAACTCACGCGACTTTTGTTATTTTTGGGAGTGGTTTTTGTTTGTTAATTTATTTGCGTTTTTTTACGGCTTTGCTTATCAATTGCAAGCTAATAGAAGTCGCCTAAAACTTCCGGTACACCCAGCTGGTGAAGATGAAGTCCTGGGAGATAGCCCTGGTGGTCGTCGCTGCCGTTTACTTGTGCTCGCAAGGTAAGTGGCCACACCTAACACATTACGAACAAGTGCATTTATTAATTACCATTGCCCAGTGAGTTTTGTGGCCGGCTTGGAGTGCTATGTGTGCTCCAACCAGACGGGAAACACGGAGAAATGCCTGAACACCATCAAGACCTGTGAGCCCTTTGAAAATGTCTGCGGCACGGAGATCCGCTGGGGATCCCAGCCGTACTTCTCGGAGGGTGCCCTCAAGCAGTATTACGTGTCCAAGCGCTGCATGACCAAGGAGCAGTGCCAGTCCAAGCGGAAGCGGTACATGCAGCTGTACTGCACCCACATCTGGTACGAGGATTGGGCGTGCAACGAGTGCTGTCAGGGCGACCGCTGCAACTACTTTGTGATTGTGAGTGAAAAAGGCGGAAATCCTTGATTTCTTTGACTAACCATTACTTCTTGCAGAGCGGAGCTACTTCAAGGCAGGGCTATGGTGTACACTGGACCCTGGGTATTGCACTCTTGGGCATGACAGTATGGCTTATGCCGTGGTCTTAGTCTCGAGTAACCACATCCCTTTATCCAACGATTGATTTATTAATTTCGACAAAAGCCGTCCATAAGCTAAGTAAAATACCATTCATTTTAATTTCCCCTTGTGGAATAGAAACCGTCCAACTAGTGCCTTGACTCTCGCTCGAATATTTTACTAATTTTAGTAAAGTAAGTAACGTTTCATGCGTTTAGCATGATTTCAAAGACAATTTATAGGAGATCTTTATAACTATTAAGAGCAAGCCTTCGAATATGTATGCATTCCAAAAGAGAATCATTTCGACGGAAGATTGTATCTTCTTTGTTCGCCTTAAAAAGTAAAAGAATCTCAGACTCCGAGCTCAAAAGAATACTTTTCTTTCCCTTACGAATTTTATACATTCCTTTATAGAAATCAAATAATTCCACAATAAGTATTATTTCATTATTTACACAACCTAAAGGCCATGCTGATGCCGATTTACAAATAATATTAAGCAACCAATAGAAAACCCAAACTTGAGGCAAAAATACCATAATGGTAACAATTTTAGAACCAAGAAAATGCCTTAATTATAACCACTGTTGTATCTTAGAATCTCACACCCCCATTACACACAATAAAGCAATTCTGACGTCTGTTTGGCGCTTTAATATACAAATATATCTCACACTTCTTTCACCATTCACATTCCTTTCACCAACTATTCCATCGATTCATCACTTGGCACAGAAGCAGCCGGCGGTTACGGTAACGGTTTTGAATTGCCACGGTTGGGCCATGTCCCTGTTCAGCCAGGAGGTGGAGCCAGAGGGAGTATCCTGCGTTAGAACCTTCACCTTGTACTCCAGCGGGCGGCAATTGGAGCCATTAGTGCACTTGGCCATATCCTTACCCGAGCGCGACTCGCAAACTGCGTTCATTAGGTAGCGAGGAAAGGCCTGGCTGCCCAAATCCAGCAGCTCGTTCTACAGAATCGGTAGAAGAAAGGGATTATAAATCATCTATATTTCAGCTTCTCTCGCAGAAAAAAAAAAAAACTGAAGAAAACAAACCGTAACTTTACAATCACAGCCAGCGGAGTGGACATCATTCCGCTTGGTGGTCAGCAAGTCCTCATAGAAGTCGTTGTAGTACATCGGCGGCAACTGATGGGGCATGGCCCGCGGTGATGCTGTCGCCTCCATCGGGTGAGGAGTACTGGGTGAGAAGCCAAAAATGGCATTCAGCATCTTGGAGGTACTGCGATCCGGCTGCTGCTCGTCCTCCACCGGATCTTCCAGGCACTGGGGCTCGCAGCGTCTCAGGCCAACAATCTCCTCGTAAACTCCATCAGTGGGGTACCGACTGGTGGCATATCCTTTATTTGTCAGGATCAACAGCGCCAGCGCTATGGGAAATGGCAACTGGAGAAGGAAATGGAATTATTTTCGGTAAGAGATATTGTTTCGTTGTGATTTCCTCCTTTGATGTGTGGGTTTATTTACGTAGTTTCCTACATTTTCTTGAATATTTTCCAAACTCACCCAGGGCATCCTACTCGATCTATTCCTGTCCAGCGCTCAACTCCTTGTGCGGCTCTAGCCCAGGAGTCTTGGCCCTTTTTATACCCATCCTGGACAAAAGGCAAAAGCCCCGCTCGGATTACCTTTTGTGGAGAAGAGCAACTCCATTATGGGCCGTCACCTGGACAGGATGGAGAACAATGGAATCAACTGTTGACACCACAACAATGACCGCACCAAGCTCAAGTGGTGATGGTGATGGCGATGGCGATGGGGTTGAGTTGAGTCCGTCCGTTGGCTATTTATACACTTTCCTGCGGCTGCCCAAGGTGGTGGTGGTGGGTGGTGTGTGCTGGGAAATGGCTTTAAGGCCTCAAGTGTTGTGGCAGCGTGTGCTGGAGTGGGCCCAAAGGAAGCCCACTGACCCAGACATGTGTGCACAGGCAAAGGGCAACCTGATCTTCCTCCCTCCTGTCGTGAGATGACCACTGCCAGTGGGTTTGGCTTCCGAAACAGTTTCCGAAAACTTTTTGGTGTAGATAAGCATACTTTTAACCGGACATAGTCATATTGGCATATTTTCTTAAGAACTTTAATACATTTTCTGGTCTTTAAAATATTCCAATTATCCATCTCCAACAAGAGCTGTCAAAGGAGGATACTAATACAAAGTACTATGTCCCTAAAGAGTCCTCCAAGCCCTACCTAGGATTCCCTTTCCCGTGTCAGACGCCACAATGTATGAGCTCACTGTGTCTCCGCTTTTTTTTTTGGCCACATCTTGGGTCAGGTGCAGAGCCTATGGCCTCAACAAATGGTATGTCCGGCTAGACCGACTGCCAGAGACAACGGGTCAGAGTTGGACCCTATACTATATGCCAGAGTAGGGTGCCCGGGAAGTGTGTGAGGTACTCTGGGACTGGGACTAGCCTTCTAGGGCTTCCCGGCTTCGGCGGGGGCAGCACGCAGCTAAACCACGGTGGAAGTTCGCCTCTCTCAGTCGAAATCGCGTCGTCGAGGCAGGAACATTGCCCACAGTGTGTCCACAGTTTGACATGCACATCCGGACGACGGTTTGACGGACCAAGAAGAAATCCGGTTATTCCCCGAGGAAGATGCAGCAGCTTCCTCCGCTGGTCGCGGATTTATGCTGAGCTGCAGCTGCCTTCCCGCAAAGGAGAGGAGGTTCTTCTCATCTGTGCTGCTGCCATTGTTGTTGTACAGTTCTTTTTTTTCCGCCGTGGAATTTGTCGAAGCGGAAAAGCGGCGAGAAGCAGCAGCAGCGCCCGCGAAGCCCTCAAAGTGTCCGACGAAAATCGTTAAAAAATAGCAGAGCAGAAAAAAACACAACACTCAATCGGCGACTATGTCACGACACGCTTGAAGACCGATATAGACAGGGAAAGATTTGGGATTTGGAGGAGAGATCCAACCAGAGCAGAGCCAGCTCCAGCAGCTTCTTTTTTATCTATTTTCACCTACACTTAAGCTCAGGATTCGCATGGACAAAGGCACAATGAAGCGCAAGCAGAGGAGATACAGGTAGAGGAATCCACTATAATCAATATAAATCTTAAGTTTAAGTAACAGCAAATGACCGCAGAATATCCGGTCATCGAATCATCCTTAGCTTTAGATAGTTTTCTCTTTAACTACTTAACTTCGAAGAAAAAGATAAAATATTTACGCTATTTAAAAAGTTATACATTATTTAGTTTCACAACGATTAATTTTTTATTTTTTATTTCCAAACCAGAACCACATTCAACACCCTGCAGCTGCAGGAGCTGGAGCGGGCCTTTCAGCGCACCCACTATCCGGATGTCTTTTTCCGGGAGGAGCTGGCCGTCCGCATCGACCTGACAGAGGCCCGGGTCCAAGTGTGGTTCCAGAACCGGCGAGCCAAGTGGCGAAAGCAGGAGAAGATCGGCGGCATGGGTGGCGGAGAGTACAAGGAGGGAGCCTTGGAGCTGGATGTGACGACGGCGGCGGCGGCGGCCTACGATGACAGTGCCACTGCTGTTCTCGGGCAGCTAGACAGTGCTCTGGGTATGGACTTACAAGAGAGTTTCCAAACCTTTCTAACTTATATAACCAATATCCTAGGTGGCAGTGGAAACCTTCTACCGGACACTCCACCGCAATCCTCCAACTCCCTGGACAACGAACTCAAGGCTCCCTACGGCACGGGTGGTATGTCGCCGTCGCGACTATCGCCCAATATCTTCTTGAATCTCAACATTGACCATCTCGGACTGGAGAGAGGTGGCAATGGCCTGTCCATGGAATGGTCCACATATCCACCTCAGAGCCAGGGCCAGACACAACCGCAAATGGAGGCGGAAAGTCAACAGCTCCAACAGCAGCACCAGCAGCAGCAGCACCCGCCACAGCAGCTTCATCAGCAGACTCCTCACCAGCAGCAACAGCAGCAGCAGCAGCAGCATCAGCAGGCTCTGGAGTTCGCCACCGCCTTGGACCTCGACATGACCGATGGCTCTTCCGCCTACGATGAGATGAAGTTTCTCAGCGTGGACCAGTTCACGATCGATAGCTTCAAGGCGGACTGCATACTCAGCATGCAGGAGCAGTCCCAGCTGCAGCCCTATGTGGGTCACTCCTCCCACTCGCTGGGGGTCAGTGCTTCCAACTCTGAGCTCTGCCTGGAAGGGATCGGTATTGGCATCGGCATGTCTGCCTTTGGCATGGAGGAGGGCGAGCCGAAGACGCCGCCCTCTCTTTTGGTGCTGGACAAAACGCTGCCCTCGTTGAGCATTGGTGTGGAGGGTATCGCCGATCTGGTGGAGCAACTGCATCATCATCATCATAGTCATCACCAGGAGGGTGGAGTCATCACCAGCGATGTTTTGTGAGTCACACTTAGGCGAATTACTTAAATAGTTAATCTTTGACTTAAATATCTCTAGTTTTAATGGATGGTTTTGCTGCTCTAGATCCTAGGGAAGTTTTGTTTTAGTTATATTCTTGTTTTCTAGTCAATGTTGATAAGTCTAGGCTTAAGTTCCAAACGAAACAAGGTCATCACATCAACAAAATTATTTAAACAAATTGGAAATAGAGATACCATAACTAAATCCACACATTATCCGGTAGATAAACCGGAAATAAAAATTTCCCTAAAATAGGCTTTTGATTAAAAGTTTTTAATTTAAATATTAAAAAATAGGTACAAACACAAATTCTACACATATACGTGCAGAAAACCTGTTTACTGAGGCTCATAATTAGGATATACATATATGTATATTTGTTTTTTGGTTTTGATTTAAAAATTATAAAATCGGTACAAAAACCTAATTTCCTCGATTAGGAAAGCATGATCCTCGGCCTTAAAAAATGAAATTTAAATCTCTTAATTTAAATTTAAAATTTTTGATCATCAGAGTTAAGGTTCGTTGCTCGGCTCCGAGCTTATAACTCATTTTCAATCCATTTTTTAAATAAATTTAAACTTTACATAAAAAAGAGTGTAATTATTTAAATGAATTGTAAATTTTAACCTTGTAACTTTTGAAGCATATACCAGACAATATAAGAAATAAGATGCGTAAAGGCAGGCGGTTATTTTTATTTTTTTTATAGTGTAACTTTCCCCTGACACTGCGGAAGTGGAGGGACGGAGTCCTTGACTACGACCAGGTTTTGGTATTTAGCTTTTATGGATTCCGCATGTGTGTGTGGTGGACGTAACAATGGAATCCTACTCCAATGCTCCTGCCCTTGTTTGTGGCTCGGATTAGAGGCAAACTAATTGTGCGATTTGAATGGATTTCGGGTTTTCACTTCTGTTTGTTCGGCAATAACATTTGCTTTAGCTTTTTAACAATTGCCGAATGAGTACTCCTCCCTCCACCCAGCCAGCTCCTCCTCATCCTCTGCCGGTAATTTCCATCGACTGTTATTAACGGCGCCTGCTGCAGGACCTAAGCAGTCTTAGGACGGGCAAACCAGGACTCCTCTACTTTCAGTTAAAAGCTGTCCCGGCTTAGGCAAAAAGCTTACAGCAGATGAGGACTTAAAAAGCAAGAGGAAAGTGGTCCTGAATACTGAAGTGGTATCAAAGAAAATTGAATATATTACAAATAAATATGAAATTAAATATGACAAAATAATAAAATTTTAATTCTATAAAGAAATACTATGTATAAACTAATGACAAAGGTTAGAGTTCCTATGTTATATATTTTTTTCGGGACTCTTTCAAATAGATAAACATTCAAAACTTTAATAAGAAAACTTTACAATTATTTATCATGTTTAATTTCTTTTAAAATCATAATGATTCGAGTGTCATTTCCCTGGCTTGATTAAGACTCCTACAGAGAGGCCTGCGCCCAAGTCCAAGGACTTAAGTCCAAAGCCTTCAAGGGCAGAGGGAGCTTCCCATGCTGGCGGAGAATGAAGAGCCCATAGCTCAGCTGGCTTAACACCTTGGCAAGCTCCTTGTGGATTTTCCGGGGCCAAGGGCCACCTAATGACATCCTGCCTCCTGCCTCCTGCTTCCTGCTCTCTGTTCGTCCTGTCAGCCATTTTGCCGCTGACAATGACGAGTACAATAAGCTAATTGAGGCTGAGGTGGATGTCGCAGCGGGTGGATAGGCCACAGCAGCTCCGGGATACAGATACAGATTCGGATACACACACGCCTGGTCAAAAAAAAGTTCATTATTCCCGGGTCTATGAGGGTTGACACTGCGTCCCTTGGCTGCCGGAATACCGGGAAGCGAGTGGTTGCCATTGGATAATCTTCTCTTATGAGGCCGCCCAACGATGCGCGAAATTCGGTTGGGCTTTTTTCACCAGTGAATTCCACATACCAGAGGGGGGGGGGAAGGGGAATTCATTCATTACCCCAAAAAAATAGAATATAATGAATTGATGGCATTATTAAATTAATAGCTAACAGAGATTGTTATAACAATAATTGGGAAAGCATTCTTATACCCTTGCAGGGTATTATCGGAATACTATATAGTATATCTTTCAACAGTAAATTATTATAAACAGTAATTAGCTATGATCAGTAATTACCTATGATAAGAAAGTATCAATAACTAGTAAGTAAGTCTGATCAGTAAGTATTAATGAACGTTAAGTAGCTATGATCAGTAAGTATCTATGACCAGTAAGTATGTATGATCAGTAACTAACTTTGAACACTGATAAACAATGACTTGCAACTTTTTTAATACAACACATTTCTGATACTTGGCTGGCAGTAGTCACTTCGTTCCGGGGATGTTAGAACCAGTTGGGAATCATATGCACAGATGTGCGAGATTTGTTTTGGAACAAATTTAAGCTATTTGAGCGAAACTATGGAGATATGCTTCTATGTATATAATTTCACTAGTATATTAATCGGAGCATGGCGAATCGGTGGACAATATATATGTATATATATAAAGCCATAGGAACGATCGGACGATCAGTAATTAACTATGATCAGTAAGTAACTCTGAACATTAAGTATCTATGAACATTAAGTATCTATGAACATTAAGTAACTCTGAACAGTAAGTAAATATGATCAGTAATTAACTATTCGTATTAAGTAACTATGATGAGTAAGTATCTATGACCAGTAAGTATGTATGATCACTTTCTAACTTTGAACACTGATAAACAATGACTAGCAACTTTTTTAACACAACACATTTCTGATACTTGGCTGGCATCTGTCACTTCGTTCCGGGGATGTTAGAACCAGTTGAGAATCATATGCATAGATGTGCGAGATTTGTTTTGGAATAAATTTAAGCTATTTGAATGAAACTATGGAGATATGCTTCTATATAATTGTACTAGTATATAAGTCGGAGCATGGCGAATCGGTGGACTATATATATACATATATATAGCTCCCATAGGAACGATCGGAAAATTTTAAGGAAAAAAAAACTGGATAAGTTTTAAACAGATTTACATCAAATTTGATATATGGCCATTATAAATTAATTTAGAATTTTGTGTACAATTTTTTGCAAATTTGACTATTATATCATAAAGCTGCCAACAAACGATCGTCAAAAATAGAGAAAAATAAAAAACGGTAAGCGTAAAAATGTAAATATAAATATATTTTATTAATTATATATTTTTTATATATTTTATTAATTTCTAGTGATAGAATTTCAGTCAGCAAGGGCATACAAACATCTTCGTGCCGAAGTTAGCTTTTTTTCTTGTTTAATATAAATCATAATTAAAATAAACCCTTGTGGATACGAAATCAAATAAAATTGTTTATGAAAATTATGCCAGAATCTTTAATGCTTTATATCATAACTTACTTATTATATATTTCATTTTACCAATAATTTTTATTTTATATTTATGGAGTACAAAATAGATAAAATATATTTATATCTATTGCTAAAATCTTTGGAATTTGAAAGCAATTTGATTAGTGTCCAAAAAATTACATAAAGTGTTAGAATATATCACATAGTACCACAAATATTTTATTATTATTTTAATTGAATTCACAAATCCACAAACTATTAGACTTATATTTCTTTTTATATTGAACAAAATAAACATTTATATGGATTTCTTAATCGCTTGATCGGTCATGCATTTTTAGTATAATAAGGATATAAAAAGACATGCATTTCCCATTTAAATGTTATATTTTTCAACATTTTGTTTCTTACGGTTTTGTGTGACTTAACCAGAATAAATTTCTCCGGCAATTTCTCCGAAGCTCCTTCTCCTGCTCCTTGCTGTCTCGCATCTTATTCCTGGCACATTTAAAATTAATCAAAAATCTTTTCTTTGGTATTATTTCGAGCACTCTCGACTCTCGTCTCTCCGGGGCTGTGTGCACAAGGACCACAAACTTTAATCGATAGTCAAATAAGCGTCGGGTCTTCCCAGGACGAAAGGCAGGGCGAGGACAAGGCGAGGAACATATCAGGACATCGTCTGGCATGTGTGTGTGTGTGTTTGTGTGTGTATTGGGAGGGAGTGAGAGAGAGAGAGGGAGAAGGCTTCTGCTCCTTGGTCGGCTTTTGTGCGCTGTAATTTCTCTAACGTTTGTTTATATTTTATATCGAATGCGCCCCGGGCCGCATAAACGCAATAATCGCACATTTTATGGATTAAACTCACCTGCTTCACCTGCTAATCTACAGGGCAGAGCAGGACTCGTGCCCTCGGGCGGATCGACCAGTGATTCTGTTTCTCGGCGAAGGTCTTTGATCTTTGCCTCACGCAATGAGGAACACATCCTGGTAACGAAATAAGCCAGAAAAGGGAGTGGTTGTGGGATGTAGTTACTTTGGTAATTAGAAAATTTAAATAAATAACAAATTTGAAAGCAAACTGAATAGATTTCCTTATACTATAATTTTATATTTAATAATTTAACCAAGATTCGTAAATTAAACCAAGTAGTGTAACTAACTAGTTATATTAAATCAATATTTTTATATGGTAATTTTTTGGATAAATCAAAGTTATTCACATCTCATAACTCAGCCAAAATAAATTGATTTTAATTCGGAATACTGTTCTGTGCTAGTTTTTGTACGCTTCACAAATCTGCATATTAAGTTTTATAATTGTTTTAATTTGAATTTTTGACAAATTTTGTCATTTTGACAATGCCCATTTTTAACGATAAATTTTTGAAAAAAAATTTCAAAATTTGGTTTTCTTCCTAAGATGGCTAGATCGATCCGGCTTTTCATGCTGATCAAGAATATATATGATTTATTGGGTCGGAAATGATTCCTTCAGTGAGTTTTCAGCTTCTGACTGATATTTAAATACCATTCTTTGAGTTGTTATTTATCGATATATTTATATGACAATTTTTCCGATAAATTGAAATTTAAAAAACTCATAACTAATCCAAAAAAGGATTAATTTTAATTCGGAAAGCTGCTCTGTGCTAGTTTTTATAGGGTTAACAAATCTACATATAAAGTTTTAAAAATTTTTTAATTTGAATTTTTGCCAAATTTTGACATTTTGACAAGGAAAATTGTAACACTAAAATGTTGATGAAAAATTTAAAAAATAAATTTTTTCTCGGACATGGCTAGATCGACTCGGCTTTTCATGCTGATCAAGAATATATATGGTTTATAGGGTTAGAAACGACTCCTTCACAAGTGAGAAGATTCAGACTGAAATTATAATACCCTGCAAGGGCTAGTTTTGAAGTTATCGTAAAGATAAGAAATCAATATTCATGACAAAATTAAAATTAAGTTAGGTCGTTAACTTTAAGTTTACGTTTGTAGATATCGTTATTTATTGTCCAAGTCAAAATAGGAATTAATTGGAAAATATATGCATAACTATAACATTTGATTCTAGACCTAGGGCTGATCTCTCCTATAGTATCTAAATATATGATATAATTGTCATGATTAAGACTTACCGGAGTAGAGTAGAGTTATCCTTTATCATCATTGGCTGATTCCTTCCAGTGTGGAGTTACCTTCTTGGTGATTTCAATAAGCCAAGTCATGGTATCATCGAAAGAACCTTCCTCATTATCCAGATGTATTACATGCGTCAGATGATACTTTTGGGTTCGAAGGGCACTTATCACTCACTATCACTATCGATGTTAACAGCAGGGAGGCCGCGAACAGAATGAGATCAGCGCAATTGCAGCGACTCTATTTATAGTCTGCGGGTAAAGAGAACAGAGAAAGTGAGAGAGAGTGAGCGAGAACCATCTCTAGAGAGGGAGAGAGGGAGATACATAGAGAAATAGCTATTTAGAGTAAATGAGATACAGTTTTGCATTCTCTTCTATATTTGATGATCGTTCCTATGGCAACTATATGATATAGTCGTTCTATCCGACCCGTTCCGACTTATATAATATTAGGGTAATATAGAAGACGAACTGAAAAGTTTCATTCAGATAAGAGGCCTGTTTTGGTAGGGTCAGACAGATGGACATGGCTAGATCGGCTCGACTCTTAATGCTGATCAAGAATATATATACTTTTACTATTACTATTTTACTATTTTACCTTTCCAGTCCATAAAAATAGAAGTAAAATATGGCAAAGCCCAAGAGGATTTAATTATCTTAAAAGAATATTAATGACAGGTGCATCTAAACCAGCATCGATCCCAACCAGAATCGGCTTTAATCCTTCCCCGGAGTCAGTGTGTGCTCCACGATAATTCCGGACCACACTCATGAATCTGTCATTTCCGTCGGACGGCTCCCCAAATGGGTTATTCATTATGCATATGCGTTCCCCCTCTTTACCCCCATCCAGATCCTGGCCAGGACATATTAAATAATGAAATATTAAAATCGAATGCGAATGAAATGACTTTTGGCCCGCCACTCCGCCCGGCGAGGTGTTCATGTGAATAAATTGCAATTAACAATATTTTTATTTTAACAAACGAAATGTCGAACCCCGTTCTCCTCCCTCTCCTCAAGCCACCATCCGGCTCCTATAAATAAAAGAGAAAAAAAGGGGGGAGCGGCATTTAATTAAAGGCAAATTTAATGGGTAAATATTTCATATGAAACACACACACATATACACTTATAAATACACACAAAGAGCACGAAAAATGGTCGAAAAAAATGTATATAAAAATAGGCACATATATATATTAATATACGGGTACAGTGCAGGTCATACAAATAAGTTGTATTGTTTAATAATGTTGCTAAAACTAAAAGAGTTTATAATACATTTTTCTTTTCAAAGAAATATAATTTATTAAATAAATAATAATCCATCTGTGTTATAAAACAGACACATCAATCAAATATAGTATATTATTATATATTTTTGCATAATAATTAAATTAAATCGTTAAATTGGAATATCTCTAGAATGAAATTTGGGGAATGGACACTTCTTTTAATTTTATTTACAATTTTAAGTGTATTAGTTAGCCCATATAGTTTTGAAACGCACTTTTTCCTAACGCTTAAATGTACAAATTTCATTAAAAAAAAAATTAAAACACACACAGAAAAAAAAGCCCTGACTATGTGTGTCCTGTGAGTAAATATCAGCGAGAGGGGGAAAGTGTATATTAAATTTCGTGTTGATACAGAGAACACAGGAACGGAAAAAAAATATGCGAAGCGTGCACTAGAAAACAAAAGAAACACGAGAACGGTTTGGAAACAAAAAGAAATCAGAAAAATTAATAGAGTGCAAATATTTGTAGATTTTTACACGAACTATTAACAACGCAGCCCGCTGAAAATAAGGATCCAGATTCGGGGATACGGATTGCGGGTAACTCGAGATCGTATCCGTCATATATAGGGTCTGAGCCACATCCACATAGGCCTATGCAAATAAAAGAGCCGGAGCCCAGAATGACAGGGCAGAAAGTCCAATGGCGACCGTGACATGGCAAAGGAAGCGGAGGAGCTGCCCAAGGAACTCTCCTCTCTCTCAGGTCAAGACAGAATAAATTTGAATTTGAATTTGAATTTTCGGTCTTCTCTCACCTGACTGGGCCCTGAACTCTGTGTTCCTGCTGCTCTGGTTCTGCCAAAGGAAAATAACAAGATGGAAACTTTTGCAAAGAGAAAAACACAAAACAAAAAAAAAAGAAAAAACCGAAGGGAGAAAAAACAAGCTGAAAAGGACACAATACAGTCCAAGGGAGGAACAAATTTGTCAGTCGAATCTTGGATGTCCAATAGAGAAACAAAATGATTGTCTAAGGTACACAAGAGAAATATTAAACCAATGGGTTAGCCTTTCCTTTTTTTAATTTTTAGTTTTGATTCAGTTTCAAATATAAATTACATTGAAATAATAAAATTTCGAGTTAGTTTTTACTAAGGAAACTAGTTCAACTTAAAAGGAAATGTTTAAAAAGGTTTAAGTCAGGTTTAAACTATGGAAAATATTTAATATCACCTAATATTCTGTCTTAACTCCATACAAAAATATTATCCCAAACTAGCATAAAATAATGTATTTAAAGATTTTAACAATCCGACTTCAAGGACAATCGGAAGCTTGGGGATGATATTAACTGACTTTGCCATCTTGTTTTCAGAATGCCAGATAGAAAATGGCCAACAAAATTCCAGAGCCAGAGCAGAGACCCAGCAGATACATCTGCCACACACTCAGATAGATATACACAGATACAGATACATTTCCTCCCCCAATTCACAGCCCCCATCCTGAGTCTCCATTCCCATCAATTTCAGATCCTTTGTGAGTCTGTCCGTGTGTTTGCAAATTGATTGGAGGCGAAGCCATCAAAGTGTCCATTGGAGCTGCTAACAGGCTGACCACCGCCACCTCTGTCTCCTCTCCTTGCCTCTGAGTTATCCCGGACTCCAGTTACCTGTGTTACCCCCAAACAGGTGTGAAAGCTTCGTGCTGGGTCTTCCCACTTATCATCGAAAGTTTTCCCGCGTTAAATAAAATTTTCCTTTTTTCTTTTAATTTTTCTTGGACACTCTCTGGACGAGTTGTTGTGTTTTTTTATTCATTTTGTTTTTCAATAAGTTACTTTGTTTTGGTTTTAACATTAGATTTAATCGTTGGAGGAATTATTACACTTAATTTTTGCTATTGTAGGTTTATTTAAGACTTAGTTTTTATGAATTATTATTTATAATTAGTTGTTTAGATGCAATATTAACTTTGGACTTGGACACAGGACACGAAACAATTAAGACTCGCACACGCTTACATTACACACATACATACACTTTTACATACAATTAGTGACTGTACAGGATTTTACTAAATATATTTAAGTTCTTTTTTCTTTTTCAGTTTCTTTTTGGGTTTATTACTCAACTTAAAACTTAGTAACAAAAAAAGGCGACTCCTTTCTATTTACAAAACAAAACTTACAGAACTAAGGGCCAGTGTCTATCTCTCTATTACTCTTTGAACTATTTATATTCCAGTTAAATAAATAATTTTAACACTTTTTAAATAAATATAACTTAGTTTATAAGAAAATTTTGATACAAGGACTTTTGTTTTTAAGACATTAAATAAAATGAAAATGGTCAAATCTTCATCAAAATTGGCCCTTAACTTATTACTATCCTTTCTCTATATATACAGTTGCCATGCCCCATTTTTTAGGCCACTTCCAGATCGGAGGACTCGTCGGCATCGCTATAGCCATTGGGATCGCTCTTGATGTGCACTAATTGCGTGGCATAGTGTTCGGAGCTCGGGCACTTGATGGCTACGTTTCCGCTTCCGGTGGAGCTGGGTGTGCCCGTACCCCCGCCGCCATTATTGTTGTTGTTCGTGCTGCCGTTGGTGGTGCTGCCGCATTGCTCCTCCTGCAATTTCCGGAGGCGCTCCTGCTCCTCACGTTTCTGTTTGCGCCACTTGGCCCGACGGTTCTTGAACCACACCTGGAAAAATAACAAGAGATATATTTAAATAACGGAAAATATAAAAAATATAAATAAATATTATATAAAATTGTAGGCCCATCTACCTATGCTCTAAGCCGTTTATTATTTAAATGTTATCACTTAACTTGAAGGTTTCTTTATAGAAATTACTCCCTACTTTTGCCCCACTTTTTCTGTTCTGGCTACCTTGGTTACCTTTGAGCCAAGCGGCGGGGCTTCAAAAACACTTTCATCCGTTTTTCTCTGGAAATTTCCTCTTCTGCTTTTCGGGATTTCTATGCATAAATATTTTAAGTAATTTTTTTATGTGCCATTCCCTCTTATTTTCTCGTTCTCTCTCTCTTGAGCTTTGCTTAGCCTTTTGTTGGCTTCTTTGGCTCAATCTTGGCGTTTATCTTTTGAGGGCCAGTTGCCAGGGCCAATCCTCCTCCTCCTTCTCCTCTCTCCTTTTTTTCAGGATTTAATGAGATGACTTATTGTAATTGTAATTAATTGTGAATGCAGCAGGAGGAGGGGTAGCAGAGCAGAGTAAAACTTTAGAAAGCTTAGGGTAGAAATGGGGTATATTGGAGAGGTAGTAAAACTTGAAAGGTGGATTTTCAATAGTAAAAATATTGAAATATTTAGTTTTAAAAATATTCTATATTTCATATGAATTGTGATATATTTTTTATGATAATAGAAACTTTTTTGGGGACCTTGTATGTTTTCTTTTACTATTATTATTGTTTATGACCACGCCCACCCACCCCTGTCTCGTTCTCCCTTCCTTAACCCCTCTTGTACCCTTGAAACTCACAAGCTTAACCCTTTTCCGTCAACTTAGTTAATTAAAACAAAAGGCGACTGTGAAGTGAAGTGACTTGGGGGTTAAACAACAATACAACTCTGGGGGAGGGGGTTCAATCAGCAAGAGGATGGCATTTCCCGTTATGTAATCACCCTTGTGACCCCTCATTATCTATCTCTCATTAGCCCCCGCCCCCTCACTCACAGAGAAGCTACCCCCAGAAAACCCATTCACCTGCGAAGGGCGGAGTCTCTTCTTCTCCCCAAACTCGCTCGCTGTCTCTGTGTCTCTGTTGCTCTCCTCCAGCGATTTCTCCAATTCCCTCTCTCTCTCTCTTGTTTTGTCCAATCCCAGTTGCAACCCTTATTTGTTTATTTCCCTTCGTCTGTTTGTTGATTGTTTGTTGAATAAATACTCGAGGAAAATGCTATGCAGGCTAGGAAAAAGTTTAATTAGAACAATTAGCAGAGGGAAAAGTTGATTTTTTGGTAAAATGAAATGTTATTATCATTCCGAAAAGGGAAAAGTTGAGTTTCCTCTGTTGTTTGTACAGCAAATCGACTGAATTTGTTGAAATAACAGAGGGCGGGCAAAGGCAGGGAAAGCCGGGAAAAGCAGGAAAGGTCGGCAAGTAGACGAAAGCGGAAACGGAAATGACAGCAGAAAATGCGCTAAACTTATAAGCAAAAGCAGAACTCTTCTCCCTGAAGCTCATTTAATTTCGCATAAAATTTGTGTAAATTTCAGCAGCTGCTTTTCATATATTTTCCCGACTTATTTGCTTAGGATTTTCCTCTCTCTGGTCTCGTCTTCCTCCTCTTCCCTTGTGCTTATTTTTGCTGGAAAATGGCGGCACCTTGGCAACCTTTGAAGGCGTCACCGTCAACGTCATCGCTTTTTTTTATGTCAGTTCATATATTTCTCATTTTCCACTTGATTTAATTAGATTTTTAGACAGCTCTCAGTATTATGTGTGTGTGTGTGTGTGTGTGATTTGTTTGTATTTTAGTTATTTATTTTCATAATTTTCATAATTTTCATAATTTTCATGAGCTTAAGTTATTAAAACAACACAACGCGCGCGACAACCGTTTTTCAAAAATCACGCGCTGTCGGACATGCAATGAATTTTGTGATTTAGTCAGCTTAATTATGTCAACAAAGCACACACATATATTTTTACACACACGCAATTGCCAAAATGCAACAGTTTTAATCCAATAAATTCTAAAATGAAAAAATTATCGGTGTTTTTTTGGGGGGATTTTTTTTCAGACGCTTATTAAAGTTGCATATTTTAATTAAATGGTTGGCCAGACAGGCTAAACCGCATTGAACCCTAATCCAGCCGGAACTATATAGCCAGAGGATGTGTGTGTGTGAGTTAGAGGGGGGAGGGATGTGTGTGAGCCGGAAAAAAGGCGAACGCGCTCCGCTAATCCCGTAATTTGTACGGCCAACAGTCGAAGTGGAGTGTGTGCGAGTTTAAAACCCTCCTAAACCCCCCCCCCATTTAAACACGCTGTTGAACCCCCTACCCCCCTTAAACTGGTCTAGTACTCCTCTCCCATCCAGCTTAAAATCTGACTAACGCACAACAATTTTTGGCCATAACGCTGCAGGCGCCTTTTTTGCTCAGAAAAGCTCGCTGAAAAATCGCAGTGAAAATTTTCGACAAATTAAATAAACAAAGCCGCAAAAAAGTGATGGAACAGAGGAAGAAGAAATGTGTACAGGTGTGTATGTATGTGTGTATTGTGCGATTTTCCATGTTGATTGATGGCTTCTGCCTGGGCAATATTGACCACAAAATTGCAGAAAATGCTGTTCGATAGCACTGAGATTAAATAATGGTTAAAAGAATAAAGTAAAAATAAAATATTTAGCCGAAAATAAATTTATGTTGTATTAAAAGTAAGTATTTATTCATATCTAATGATGCTAAACTTTTAATGAAAGTTAAAACTTCTACAGCTGTGTTTAACCAATATTGTCACTAAGATCTAGGTGTTTATTCTGGTTAACGGACAATTGCAGTGACGGACAAACGGACAGGGCTAAATCGAGTAGCCTTGAACGTTTTTTGGGACAACTTTATGTTATTATTTAATCATTTTTGAACATAATAAATAATAAAATTGCTTTACTTAGTTATTTCGCATCATTTCGTTCAGTGTTCAGTTGCAGGTGGATTTTTCTCGTTTTTTCTTTTGGGTAAAGAACTTGACATGCATGGGCTCTCGCCTTGGAGGCGCCAGAGAGATCTCTCTCTGACCTTTCGCAAATATTGCCACAGATTTTTCATCCAAAAGCGCATAAATCGCTGATACCGCAGGAAAATCGCGGGGGCGTGGTGCTTCCCCAGGGGGACGGAAGCGTCTGAAAAGCGAGGCACACACACACACACACATTGGGAAACGTGCATGAAATCCATTGAACAAACAGACCCACGGCAGTTGATTTTTAATTAACTACAAAAGCGCTTTACGCTCCGCCCCCTACGCTTCGCGCTTAACCCGTTTCTCCCCCTTGGGAAAAATCTCTTCTGGCATTCTGGCAGACTGACCCTGGGTGTGTGTTATTTTGGGGTTTTTTGGTCAGTCTATGCGTGTGGTTTGGATTACCAAAAGAGGACCGAAAAGGCCGGAAAATGCATCGATGTGGCATGCAAATGTTACCGAAATATGTATGTAGAGCTACACTGCTATCATAACTTTGCGCTTCGTTAATCGTTGCACCTGCTCTATGTCCCCCTCTCTCTCTCTCTGCTGATTTTTCCCCTCTCCTAATTTCCCTTGTTGTTCCAACTCGTCAAAATTGTCCCCGACGAAAGCCAAAAAACATTGGCAGCCAGCAAAAACAAAAAAGAAAAATTAAATTTCGCTTGGCTTCAAAAGCTGAGCCCGACGAAGGGTTAAATGGGGAGACCCGTGTAGATTTAAAAGGTGAAGCTCGGTGGGCGGTGGGGTTAAACACAAGGGAAGGCTGCAAAATACACACACAAAATGGCGGCCGCCTTTTTCACCAGGCGCTTCTAATTAGTGAAAATTGGCAACACAATTCGGTTGGAAACTTCGTCACCAAAATGGGTGGCACTCGCTCCCCACCCCTCTCTTTTTTTTGTGCAAAATTGTTGACGCTGTTTTCCGTCGTGTTGTTGGATTAAAATCGCGCAGCCATGAAAATTGCTCGTTACGCACATTCCCTTTCTTCCTCCTCCTTGATTTTTGCTATCACACAAGGCTTAAAGTGGAAGTAGACAAATTATGATCTTTTGCAGGAATCCAGTGTTTTTATACGTACATTAAACAAGTTTTATATTCCATTTCTAGATCACCAACAGTTTTCCATTCCTCTGCCAATATTTCTTGTAATTAAACACGGTAAACACCGAGTGAAACTGTATAACGATTACCAGTGGCGCAGAGTGTGCGAAATACAAAAACAAAGTCTTTTACCGTATACCAGTGCCGAAACGATTAAGAAAAGGACGGAATAAGAAAAAAGTCCGGCAAGTGGTGATGCAAGCTCGACGGAAAACATCGATAGCGATATCCGTCGATCTGTCAAACAGAGCATCGATGCATCGCTTAACATCGGTAAACATCGTAATAATAAATAAATATTATAAAACGTATATCATAGTATACATATATTTATTTAAGTTTTGTAATTGTATCATCAACTTTTAACACTGATTTCCAATACCCAATTAGAGAAATTAAGCAACCGATGTTTTGTCAAACATCGATGTATCGCCTAACATTGCCAACATCGGTAAAAGAATATCGATGCTCGTGCAGCGGTGTTGAGGACATCACTATCGCCCTGTCAAGTGAAAAAACTGCTGCAGCTAAAATTTGTTCCTGCCATACAAGAAAATTATACAGTCAATTGTGCAGTTACCAATGTGCACTGGTGTTTCTCCCACTATAAACTTAACAAATACCATGGAGTTAAAGCATTTGGCAAGTAGAAATCAAATTAAACCACTAAAACTGCAGTGAAAAAACTGAGACTCCTGCGGACAATGTGTGACAGTATGTGTGTGTCCAATAGGCTGCCGCCATGATCGTGTTAGAGTGAAAACTAACGGGCGAAGAGTGCAAAAAGAAAAAACGAAGAAGAAGAACGAAGTCGCCAAGTGAAAAATTGACGTGTGCTGCAGGTAAAAGTTATTCTTCGGCCGCATTAGAAATATATAATA